TATATTTCCGTTGTTCCATTAAATACCTTGTTCCATTCAAAATGAGAAAATTTTACTGCAATACAAAAAGCCCACAACAAAATTAACAATTTCAAAACCAATTAAATTTCGATTTAATTAATACATATGAAACTTGGTTTTGAACTTCGCCACAATAGAAATGTAAAATTTATTATTAATCCAAAAAACAATTGTTTGCAACTTCACTCCTTGTTGGCATTTCCTGCTCTAACATTTCGAGAACACAAAACTGAATTCATTTCATGACTGGATCTAATTTATTTAATTTTTGAGTGGCAAAATTTTTAATCGAAGGAGAATAAACGTTTACGAGTGTCAATCATTTGTTCTGTTGTTAGGAACAGAGAGGTGGAAAAAATTGTTTAAAATGGGTTAGACAAAACATAGCTAAGGCAAAATTCTGAAAAAAATTGAAAAAATCCCACCTAATAAGTTATTTGCGTATACAAAAATCTTCAGGCTCCTTAAAAGTCCTTTTTACATAAAAATATCCTCTGAAACCTGGGACGTAAAAAATGCATATCAAGAAATAATTTTTCTACAGAAAATTATTCCACAGATAGCCTATTCTCTATACGAAATAATCCTCAACATTATCATACAAATAGTCATATGCCCCCTTAGATTTTTTTTTTGTCCAAAGAAAAAAAAAATCATCGAACTAATAAAAAATCTGAATCGGTCCCAATTTTTTCTATAAATATGTAAGAAAGAATTCCCCTTCTGGATCACCCTATTTTTTTTAGAAATTTGTAGGTATTCCCCTTCCGTACTCCCACGCCTTTTCTCAGCAATTTTGTTGAAACTTTCAATTTCATGGCCTAGCATCCAGCCAGTCAGCCGACCAATGCTGTCATTAGAAAACCCTCCCACAAATTTTTTGCAAAAAATACGCAGATACTTGAAATAGAAAAGGAAATAACAATAAAAAATCACATTTCCGCATCACAACAGTTCGACATCGATTGCAGTTAACAGTTACAGCGTAATGGCCCTGAACACTAGCATAGCATTGCTAATATTAACCTCAAATACCTCAAACTGGAGCAATGAATCGAAACGAGTCCAGCCACCACAAATGGTCAATAGCTCTTTGCTAATCGAAATCGTGAGCCGTTTACATAGCATACATAATTTTAATAATTTTGTATTTTTCATATCGGAACGTCTGACCAAAGATACCGATACGGCAGCAGAATTTTTCAATGATTTTTGGGATGTGTTTCCCACAATACCGATAACCATTAAAGTGGATGATGCCCAGAATATGGAGGGATTTCTGAATATACCCTCACTGTGTATGGTATTGACTACCGAACCGGAGGACCCCATAATGCGTGTGGCATCGATTAGTTTAAAGGGTACGCGTTATATAAGAACGTTGTTTATATTATTTCCCCTTACTACGGAGCAGAGCATTGAGGAGGAGAAGGGGGAAGAGCAGACATTTCAGAAGGAGGTGGTCAAAGAAAACACAAATTCAAGTGAAAGCCTCTATGAAACAATAGGCCTCATCTATAAATGGGTGTGGCGAAAACAATTCATCAATGCCGCCCTGCTAACCATTGACAATGGCATTTTCGTACACGACCCCTATCCCGTACCGAGTATTTTGAATTTAACCAACAACTGGACGGCAGAACAATTTTTTCTTGGCTCCGAATTGAATTTTAAAGGCTATGAAATTCGTACACCCATACATCATGACCTGCCCCGGGTATTCTATATGACCCACCCACGACGTTTCATTACCAAGGACCACTATGTCAGCGGAGTGTCGGGTAAACTGTTCACCTCATTTGTGAATTTCATCAATGCCACCTTTAATGAGACTACAACCCATGAACTGGGCACCCAGCCCGTCAATTTGAGTGACATTATTCAGAAGGTGGGTAAAAAACATTTGGAAATAAGTCTCCATTCCTACACGGATATGCTGCCGAAGAAAAGTGGCACCAGCTATCCCATTGGCATAAACGATTGGTGTATAATGGTGCCGCATCGAAATCGTGCCCCTGATCATGTTTATTTGAGCAATACTTTTCGACTCTATGCCTGGTATTTGGTTTTCTTCAGTGTGGCCTATATAACGGTAGGCATTTGGATATGTACTCCAGCCCCCAAACGCGATTTGGGCCTCACCTTCATACAGGCCATCTGCTCGTTGCTGCTAATACCACCTCTGCGTGTTATAACCATACCCTGTGCCCGTATGCGTTTCATTTTCATTATCCTCTTCATTTTGGGTTTTATCACCACCAATTGGTATGTCAGTAAAATGGCCAGTTTCCTGACGGCCTACAAGGAACCGCCACAAATCAATACCATCGAGGATGTCATCAGAGCCAAACTGCCCATAATGATAATGGCCTATGAGTATCAGGTGGTGAAAACCTATAACTTTCCTCAAGCATTTTTGGATTTGATTATAAATGCAACTAAACCCGAAATGGATATGCATCGTGATCGCATGAACACAACCTATGGCTACAGTACCCAAACGGATCGTTGGAATTTTATAAATCGACAACAACGTTATCTCACAAAACCGGTATTTCGCCTATCGGATATATGTATTGGTCCGTATTATCATATATATCCCATACAAAAAGATTCACATTTAGCCAAACCGCTACAATTGTTTATATTGCTGGCCTCCGATGTGGGTCTAATCGATCATTGGGAAAATGAAGCCTTTGCCGATGCTCTACATTTGGGTTATGTCCATATGATGACCGTAAATGAAACATTGCCACCATTGACATTGAGTTTTTTTCGTTCGATTTGGATCCTATGGAGCCTGGGTATGACATTAGGTGTTGCCATATTTATTTATGAATTTAAAGGGCGGGTAATTTATCGGAAAATTTTGGAATTTTATGAAATTCATGTTAAAAATTTTTGCAATAAATTAAATGAAATATAGGAAAAAATAAGAGAATTAATAATTTTACTCCTCCAAAAAAAAAAAAGGGATCACATGTTTTGAGTAAACTGAAAACCGATTTTAATAAACTTCAACTTGTGTCCTCTTCAAAATGATGGAAAGGTCTCAAAAGGACTAGTTTTATCCTCTACTCCAAAAAAGGGTGCAATATTTTCTGAGAAAACCCTTAGTGGTTTAAAAATAAAAGGTTCAACAGAGGTCTCGCCGAATCTGTACTAAAAACAGAGTTTATTATCTTGAATGTTCAAAATGGCGCCCAAATGGATGTTATGCTACTTCGGTATGGCGTTAAGTGTTGCCACACTTCTTATGAATTTAAATATCTATACCGAATCAATATTAAAAACGGAGTTTATGATCTTGAATGTTCAAAATGGCGCCCAAATGTGTCAGAATGGAAAGAAACGTATTTAAAACCACAAACATTTTTTCTCAATTTGTTTACGTTTTAATAAGGACTTCTATGGACAAAAGACCTGCAATTCCGCAAGAACAAAAACCGGGAATAATAGTTATAATCGACAGAAAAAATCCTAATAAAGGTTTTTATACACCAAAAAAATTCTAAATTGCACTATAGGCTGAAGAGCATCTACTTCTGCGAATTTCTAAATTCAAAAGGCTTTCTACGGGTCTACAATGGATTGAAATGATCCCCACAACCCTGATATTTCCTGTAGACTGAAAATTTTACAAAGACCTTCTTAGGACTGAAGCTTTTCTGCTGGTTCTTCAATACACAGAAGTCCTCCTGTATGTTAGGGCCTCTTATAGGGTTTCTATGGATAAAGCGTGCCCTATAAATAAAATATATGATTTTAGGTTCTACATTTCATTCTAAATTATATCTATCGAAATATGGCTTAAGCTTTCATCCTCCAAAAAAATTCCCCCCAATGTGCTGTAAATTCACAATTATTCCACTGCCATCCAAGTTGAACGCACGAAAGGAAGTTCAAGGACACAATGTTTCGATTTTAAAAACAACTTATTAACAAATCCCCGAATACCTTACAGCATGTTTTCGAAAAACAATTACTACAAATCCCAATGGAACATTTGGATGAGCCATCGACGTTTTTCGTTGGTCCTGCATGTAAGCTAAACGGAACACAGGCATTTCGTTCGTCAATTTCAACGAGTAATGAATAGTTTACGGCAAAATACGTTTAACACCACCTGGGATACCTCTTTCCTGATGGGGTATATAATACCATTGATGAACATAGCCAGTATACCTGAAGTTCTTTGGTTTGTATCGGATCGTTTGGATGCCGAAAGCCGTGATAATTTAGAAAACTTTATGTTAACATTGCATTACAAAACCTTTGTTCCGCAAAAGGTACTAACCCACACGAAAGATGATCGGATTGTGCGTACGGATAGTAAGAGAAATTATTTGGGAATTGTACTCACCACTTCGGCCAATGATCCGATAATGGAGGTCCACAATTTGGTGCTCAAAGGACGACATGGATATTTAAATTTTGTTGTACTCGTAAAGCGAATAGATGATTTTCGAACGGCTGAGGATACCCTGTATGTACTGGAGAGAAATAATTTCGCCATGGCTCTGCTCTATGTTGGCTATTTGAATGGTTCATCGGATTTGTATGCCATCACCAGCTTCCCTGAGGTACATATTGAGAAGCGTACGGATTTGTTTGCTTACCTCCGAGTCGCAATGAATAAAATAGCCAGTGGTGGTTGGGATGCTCTTGGTTATAAATATAAAACCCCGTTACGTCAGCAAGTACCGTATGTGTTCGAAGGCCATGACCACTTGGGAAATTCGTTGCGACGTGGTATTTCCTATAATATTCTGAAACTATTTTTGGAATATGTCAATGCCTCGCTGGAAGTGTATGAAATGCCCAAGGACCCGCTGGGCGGAGACGTTATCAATATGCGTGATGCCCTGAACTTGGTAAGGCAAGGAGAGGTGGTGTTATTGGGTCATGCTTATGCCCTATTTCAACCCGACGATAATATTGACATCAGCTATCCGATTATGGTGGTGCGTTGGTGTATCATGGTGCCGCTATTTAATAAAGAAGCCACACGTTATTATGCCCTGAAACCATTTCAAAATTCCGTTTGGCAGGCTGTCTTGGCCACCTTTGTCATACTTTCCTTTGTCGATGCCCTCTGGATATATGTTCATTCGCTGGGTAGTGCTAAGGCTGTGAGGAAACATGATCTCATTTGGAAACTTCGTGACAGCGTTTTGGAGAATTTTTGCTTCATCATCAATGTGGCGGCCAGTCGTACCATTAAAAATCCTCCGGTAATGAGGTTTCTATTCTATGCGGCCGTTTGGTTTCATGGTTTCTTTTTAACCGCAAACTATACATCGCTGCTGGGTAGTATTCTGACCGTGACCATATTTCGTGAACAGGTCAACACAATGGAAGATTTGATACGATTAAATATTTCCGTGATGATTATCGATTATGAATATGATTTCCTGATGACGGGAAAACTAAATCTGAGTGAAGATTTCCTGCGTCTCATCAAACAGGTGGACAGCGCCACATTTGCTCAACATCAGCTGAATTTCAATAGCAGCTATGCCTATTTTGTCACCGATGATGTTTGGCGTTTCCTAAATATGCAACAGAAGCACTTGCGTAAGGGTCTCTTCAAGTTGACGGACATTTGTTTTGGTTCCTTCAATTTGGGTTTCCCAATGGAACCGGATTCAGCGGTACGTCGTTCTATGGAGTATTTTATGCGTAACATCTATGCCTTTGGCCTGTTGGAATACTATGAGAGTCATGCATTCGATCATGCGTTGCAGGCAGGTTTGGTACAACACTATAATACGGATCGGGAATATACTGCAGCTGGAATGCAACATGTTTTGGTGATTTTTGGGGTGCTAATATTTATCTATGAATTGAGTATTATTACGTTTATTGTGGAGTGTGTTTCTGCACGATTGAAGAAGAAGTGTAGTAAATAATTTGAAAAATTGTGTAATGAAGAACGAGAGAGAGAGAGTGTGAGATAGAAAGAGAGATAGCAAATTAAATAAATAAATAAATAAATATGTGTATGTATGTAAGTGATGTAAAATATATGAGTGTGTGTTTCAATTTATAAACCTGAAGGAAATATGTGAGGTTGTATTGCTTTTGTCGACTGTAGTGACGATATATCAGCATATTGTCAACAACTTGTCTACATATCATGTAATAAGAAGAAGCATTGTTTATGTTAATAGCCAATTGAGCATGGTTATGCTTCTTCTTATTTTTCTTTTATAACAAATACTTTTCGTGGTACTAGATGGTGGCAATGTCAATACTAAGGCAAAAGTGATTTACTATATACATTTCCTACTGGGAAGAATGGTTCGAACAGAGTTAATGTCAGGGCTTTTTTCGAAGAGGTCTAGGCTAAAAAACCTGAGGTCTAGGATTAAAAACTATTTCTGTCAGAAGTGTTATTACGCTTTGAGGCACAGAAATTGCAAATTTCAGAAGTTTACTTACTTACTTAGTTGGCTCGATATGGAAAATTTGTTTCATAAGCCGAACTTAAAAAAAAATTATATATTTGTAAGACCATTCTTTAATATATCGTCCTCCACTTGATGTTTCCATCGAATTCGTAGCCTTCCCCTTCTGCATAAAAGCTCACTTTTATATGCCTTTTGAGCTGGATTCATTCGCACAACATGGCCTAGCCACCGCAGTCGTTGCAGCTCGATTCGTCTAACTATGTCGATGTCCGAGAAGACCAAAGACCTTTCGGAGAATTTTTCTCTCAAACATTCCAAGAGCTTCAGATCCATACAACAGCACGGGTAGTATCAGCGCCTTGTAGAGCGTGAGTTTGGTCTGGCGAGAGGTGGTCTTTCTTTTGAGTTGCTTACTCCGACCATATTAGCATCTGTTGGCCAGCAACAGACAACGCTTAGGTTGTCAAAAGTATCTCAAATCGATGTGACCGATCCAAACGGGATATGAAGCTAGATTCAAAACAAATTTTCCAGACGAAGCGTATTTCTATTTATTGAGAATCTGACTTTCAAAATATCAACAAATTGTCAGGTAGCCTTATATGAACTCATATATATCTCCTCTTTAAATCCAACCACTCTAGGAGGTTTTCCTTTCGAATGCATGTACCATTTTTTATTCCCTTGTTACTCCTCTTGGGAGCATGGAGCTTCCACAAAGCACCGCCATTTTACTCGGTTAGCTGTCGTTGTTTTTGCATCTTCATGGATTATTGTTCGCCTCCAGGCGTTTCTTGGTCGACTTCAATTCCTTGAGAACCTGACCTTCAAAATATCAGCAAATTGTCAGGTAGCCTTATATTTGCCCATATATATCTCCTCTTTAAATCCAACCACTCTAGGAGGTTTTCCTTTCGAATGCATGTACCATTTTTTTATTCTCTTGTTACTCCTCTTGGGAGCATGGAGTTTCCACAAAGCACCGCCATTTACTCGGTTAGCTGCCGTTGTTTTTGCATATTTCAGTGTAATGTCTCCAGGCGTTTCTTGGTCGACCTCGATTTTTTGATCCTTGGGGATTCCATTCGACCGCCATTCTGGTTATACTATGGGCATTTTTTCTTCTTAAAGTGAAGACCAATCAATATCCATTTCCTATTTTTGATCTGCTTTAGTATGGGTTCCAGTTACGTTACCATCCAACCTGTGCCATACATACCTAGCAAAAATTGTGTGTGCCTTTAACAAATAGAAGACACCGAATTCTCCTCTCTTTCTCTTCCTTCACCACCCTCGTATTAAAGAAAGTTATTTAAAAAAAACGTTGGAATTTTTCAAATTTTTCCATTTATTATTTCTTCAATTTCCTGCTATAACAAATTATTTCCATTGCCAAACACAAAAATCCCATTGAATAAACGATTAGCATCAGGAGAAAAATAACACTCAAATGATCCAAACCTGCCGCCTTATATTCTCGAATTTCTTTGATCATTTTCAATTGACCCGATTTCACAGCATTGCGTAAAGCGTGTTGTTCATAAACCTGATACAGACCCGATGAATGAATACGAAATATAAAATATTCCAAATAACGCCAAATGGGTGAATCCATTTCCATGGGATAGGCCAGATGATACGAACCAAAACAGATGTTGGAAAATTTGAAAATTCTTTGTTTCAAATGCCTTTGGGTGTAATGCAAGAAATGCCAACGATCTTCGGTAATGAAATAACCAAATGATGCATTCATTGACATTTGATGCGAATAGAAGGTGGAGGAATTCACCACCACTAATAGGTGTAGGAAATCTGGTTTCAGGGGGAAACCTTGAGATTTTAAAAATTGCAATTCATAATCTATGATCATAATGGGTAATTGAAAACGTATTACATCGTCCATGCTGTTGATTTGTTCACGAAATAAACTGACGGTCAAGGAGGAACCCAAATAGGAAGAATAGAGGGTTGAGAGGAAGAAACCAAAATAAAATACTGAAAAATAATAAATAAAGCGTTTAAGCGATCCGGGGTTTGACAGATAAAATGTGACTAATATTAAGGAGAAAACAAAAATTGTTTAACCACAAATCCATAAAATGTGGTGATCCAATGCTCAGCTGCCACTTTAGGAAATCCAAGCTACAAAGGAGTATTAAAACCACCAGCAGCATGATCCACACCCGCGATTCAAAGGGTTGCCAGGCATAAAGGTATGTCGATAATTTATTCCTCAATGGTATCATTAGACACCATTGAACCACCATTAGCGGATAGCTTTTATCCAACTGGGTATCCTCTCGAAACAAGGCATAAGCATGGGCTGAGATTTTAATTTTTCGATTGCGTATCAATTGCATAACCTCCTGCATGTTGACAATCTCACTTCCGCTGTTATTTTCCTCATATTTCAACAGTTGACCATTCATTGAGATCATAAAATTTCTTAATATCGAATATGTGGTGCCGTGAATCTGCCTTTGTCCATTTGCTGAAGCATAGCTAAAAACTCCCGGCACATCCTGTTGCAAGGGCGTATACCATTTGTAACCACCCACATCCAATGAGGCAGCCATTAATTTCCTCAACTCGGTGGTAAACCACAAATTATAGTTTGTATAATTTTTCAAATGAAATTTCGGAAATTGTTTAAAACCCCACAGATTCGCCTCACCGTCCTTGGTATCAAAATAAATAAAGGTGTTGACAAAATTCCGACTGTTTAAATACCTCGCCAGAGTTACAATCGATTCAATGTCACTGACTTTCCTTGTATACAAAAGTAGGCCAATATAAAAATGCCTTCCAATCAGTAAATGATGATGGATTTCCATAACCGCATCCTCAGGTCCTGATGAAATTATCACCGCTATAGAAACACGTTTGGAACCAATCTCAATCATGTGTACATCCACAAACCGAGACCATACAAATTGTGACAAGATGTGACGTTCTGTAAGGCCTTTCATAAATTCATTTAATTCCTGTTGATGTTCCACATCCACAACTGGCGGCAGAAACCATATGACTTCGGAAATGTGTGTTATTTTTATATAGGTATTTAAGAAACCATATAAATATGTTAAATTCCACGATGCAGCGAATTGGAGGAAGGCACTCAGGGTGCAGGCAACAAGTTTTAGTTCCATGTCCAAAGGTGTTTCGTTCGAAACTAATTTTAAACAATCATATTCTGGTTTTTTAAATGACCGCTGTGTGAAATGTTCTGCACCCCCATGGGCATGGGGGGATATTAAATATTAACATAAACATGTTATTTATTCACGAGAACACGTTTTAATCAAATTAATTAAACTATAAATATTTTTATTCTACACTAACTTGCAATGTTTCAATTTTTTATTATTTCATTTGAGGTTGGAAATATTTGTATGATAATTTTTCCTAATAGGTGCAACACAGTATGTCTTTCGATAGAGGGCGCCCTAATTTTCTTAAATATGTAGCAGGCCATCTACAAATCTTAAATAAAAAACTTCCCACAAAAGAAACCTGGGGGGTTACTCTGTATTGCGTTGCGAAAGCAAGTGCGATGCGAAAGCTAAATGCGTTAAGAGTACAATTTGGTACTCTGTAACGTTCACGCAAACGCATTCGCAAACTAAATTGAAAATAGGGCAACACTGTCGCCACAAAGTAAACAATAACGAAGAATGACAAAAGGAAACGTCAAAAAATTGTAAATGAAAACATATTTTTGTGGGGTACGAGTGTTTTTTTAAACAAAAATGATGAACGAATTAAAAAAAAAAAGAATTTTATGAGATCTATCGAAGTGACCACGGGTATGAAAATGTAAGTACGAATTATGTGACAAATGTTTTCAAATATTTAATTTTTATAGATTTATATAAAATGTCTCAATAAAGATTCGTTTATGTATTTTTTAAACGCTCGTCGTTTCAAATAGATCCACAACAATTCCAACTCCAATAAAAGAGGCCGCTGCTTTGATATTGCATGGACAATGTGGTTATCAACACCAACCTATAAATATGCACACATAGTTTCACATTTTATATAAAAAAATAATATATTACTTTTTCCAACCACCGACATCTTTTACAGGAGGTCAATTTGAATTGAGGTCATCAGACAGTTTTGTCCACAAATTGTTGGCGCGTTGTTTCGCATTTGAACTCTGCAACTGTCCCTTTGCCAAATCACTGTGTTGCCCCATAAAATCTACTGAAGTTAGGAACTGACGTTGCTGAGCCTGTAACTGTGACTTTTTTGCCTTTTACTTAAAATAATTTCCATTTTATATATAAATAAAACCTTTAATGGAGCTTACTTATACGGTTCGCTTCCTTTGCGTTTGCTATTTTGTTAACGCAAGATATTTGCGCTTAACGAACGAGTTTGACATGCGTTTTCGTATTACAGAGTGCGGTGATGCTACATTTGCGTAAAGTTGATGCAAAAGGAGATACGAAAACGAATTAGAGAGTACCAATTACGCGATGCGTTACAATTTTTCTCACGCATCGCAATACAGAGTAGCCCCCCTGCATCTCCCATGTAAAATTATTTTTTCTTAGTCGCTAGGAGTTTCTAGGTCGACCTCGATTTTGTAGTCCATTCAAACACCAATTTGGTTATGCTATGGATATTTTTTCTTAAAGCGAAGACCAAGCCATCTCCATTTTCTACGTTTACTATGAAACTTGATTTCTCCTGATGATAAGTCCTTTTTTGATAAGTCCTTTTTTTGTGACATAACAAAAATTGTCAGGATGTCCACAAGTCTTCACTTCGAACGTCGTGATTAAAAAAATTGAACTGAACAGCTTTCGAGGGCTCATTGCTTACTAAACGAATACGAACTATGTAACATCCTTTCAATATTTATTTAGGACAACAACAATTCCGATGTATTCCTCAGGGCAAGTTAACAACAACAAAATAAATAAATAAACAATTAGCTTCCTCATTGTTGTGTCTGGACTGGTCTATCAGGAGCTAGCCTCACATTTAGTATCGAAAATATTATCAACAATGAATATTCAAAAGCTTTTAATCGTCAGTTTAACTTCATTCCTATTCTACTCCCCCAGCCTGCAATGGGATGACAATTATATTTACAATTTCATCAAAATATTTTACCCTCTACTACACGGGCAAGGTAATATCTGGTTCCTCAGCCAACAGATGACCACCGAGCATACCGCAAATTTAGATCATTTTATAAAACGAGTACAAGATGATACTGGAGATGCTCAATACGTTTTGACAAACCATAGTGATGTTCGTATTACCAAAACCGCAGCGAAGCGTAACTCTTTGACCTTTGTCCTAACCACAGGAGCTGACGATCCAATTATGTACGTACACAATCGTGTTATGACGGGACGTCATTTCCCCCTTTCCATTGTCATATATGTTCCAAAGGTGCGAGATATGATGGAGATTGAACAGCTGTGCTATATTCTCTACAAGGGAAGTTTTGTCAACAGCATGGTTTATTTCCAGCAGATCACAGGCGAACAAGGCCTAATGAGCCATGAACAGTTTCCCCATTTTAAGATGATAGATGTCTCCGATTTCAAGGCATTCCTACAACGGAAATTTAAATCGGTCATGGCTGCCTCCCAGGATGTGGGAGGTTATACATTCTTTACCCCCCTACAACAGGATATGCCGCGTGTCATAAAATACCACGATAAAATGGGCAAGCTGCAATTGCAGGGATCCACATTCCGTATGTTTGATGATTTTGTACACTCCCTAAATGGATCCATTGCGGAATATAAAATGCCTCGCGATAATTATGGCACAGAAATGGTGAATATGAAAACCATATTGGATCTGGTGCGTAAACGGAAGATTGATGTGGCTGCCCATGCCTATGCCCTATTTCATCAGGATGATGATTTGGATAAAAGCTACCCCATAATGGTGGTGAAATGGTGTCTGATGGTGCCGCTACAAAATGACATTTCAACATTCATATATATGCTGCAACCATTCGAATGGCGAGTGTGGTGCCTGATTGTGCTTGTCTTCTTTTCGCTGCTATGTGTGGATTACATAAGGCTCTCCCTACAATTCCTCGTCTTCAGACAACGAAGACGATTTGGCAATTTTTACTCTATTCTGCAAGATGCCTGGTTGGAAGATTTCTGCCATGTTATTAACATAACCACACCGAAACCCCTTAAGCTACCTTCCGCTCAACGTTTCCTGTTCTACACAATTGTCTTCCTCTTCGGTTTCTATTTATCCGCCCATTACACCTCATATCTGGGAAGCTTTCTCACAGTGAGTATTTTTCACGCCCAAATCAATACCCTGGACGATGTCATTCGAGCTCAATTACCCGTAATGATAGTCGATTATGAGCTGGAATTTTTACTCTCCGAAGGCTATGAAATGCCTGTGGAATTTGGCAAACTAATACGTCCGGTGGACACCTACACCTTTGCCCGCCATCAATTGAAATTGAATAAAAGTTTTGCCTATTTTGTGACGGATGATACTTGGCACTTTCTGAATGAGGCCCAGATACATTTGAAACAGAAAATGTTTAAATTTTCTGATATTTGTTTTGGTTCCTACCACTTGGCCTATCCCATACAGGCGGATTCGGCGGTGTGGCGTGATTTGGAATATTTCCTTTTTCGCACCCATTCGAACGGGTTGCAACAAAAATACGAAGGTGACACATTTCAATATGCCGTTTCGGCGGGATATATTCGGCGTATGATGGAGAGTCAGGAAACCACTTCAGCAGGGATTGAACATTTACGGTTACTATTTATTATATGGGGTTCAATGTGCACGGCTGGATTACTGTGTTTGTTTGTGGAAATGTATGTGCATAAATATGGACGGCGGAAGATATTTCTAAATTAGGAATGTTTACACTATTCTACAAGAATATATGAATATAGGTCTATACTGGTAATAAAATATATTGTTTTAATACTGGGGAAAATATTGGTAAGTATTTTGATCAAATATGTACATTGTTTTACGAAAAATCTTTATAAACTGTATTTTTGAGGAAGTAGGCATAAATATCCTCTGTGCGGAATATGACCAAAAACTCTTTTATAATGGATACGTAAAGTTCTTCTATGATGGAGACCTAAAGCTCTTCTTGGAGAAACCCTAAAGCTCTTCTATGGAGAAACACTAAAGCTCTTGTATGAAGAAACCCTATGAAGAATACCTAAAGCTCTCCGATGAAGAAGACCTAAAGCTCTTCTAAGAAGAAGACCTAAAGCTCTTCTAAGAAGAAGACCTAAAGCTCTTCTAAGAAGAAGACCTAAAGCTCTTCTATGAAGAATACCTAAAGCTCTCCTGTGAAGAAGACCTAAAGCTCTTCTGTAAAGAAGACCTAAAGCTCTTCTGTGAAGAAGACCTAAAGCTCTTCTGTAAAGAAGACCTAAAGCTCTTCTGTGAAGAAGACCTAAAGCTCTTCTGTAAAGAAGACCTAAAGCTCTTCTTGGAGAAACCCTAAAGCTCTTCTATGGAGAAACACTAAAGCTCTTGTATGAAGAAACCCTATGAAGAATACCTAAAGCTCTCCGATGAAGAAGACCTAAAGCTCTTCTAAGAAGAAGACCTAAAGCTCTTCTAAGAAGAAGACCTAAAGCTCTTCTAAGAAGAAGACCTAAAGCTCTTCTATGAAGAATACCTAAAGCTCTCCTGTGAAGAAGACCTAAAGCTCTTCTGTAAAGAAGACCTAAAGCTCTTCTGTGAAGAAGACCCAAAGCTCTTCTGTGTAGAAGACCCAAAGCTCTTCTATGAACAAGACCCAAATATCTTGTATGAAAAATACCTAAAGTTCTACCATGAAGGAGACACAAAACTTCTCTATCTTCTATGACAACAACATTGCTGGAAATTTCGTTTTACAATATCTAGTTTGTTTTAAACCCTATTTCATCCTCAATTTTCCCTTCTGACCTTATCCTTAGCAAGGATGTTTCTTTATGATGGCATTAATTAAAATTTAATAATTATTTGATGACTTGAACTGATGACATGAAGTCACGATAGGCTCCGGTTATAAAAATGGAAGCAAACCCCAATATAACTGCACAAATCAGCACCTAAAAATCAGTTGCGGTCAGTCCATCAGAGATTCAAATACAAAATAAGAAAATATTTAAAATTTCATTTCGATGTTTAAAATCCAAATTGTTATATTTTTCATAATCCCCCTGGCCAGCTGCTGGAACATTGATTATGTGGGCAAACGTTTGGCCTTGCCCATAGCTATGGGAACCCAAGAGACTTTCTTTTGTCTCTGCCACGTGTGTCAAGATGAAAATGTGTCACTGCTGATGAAATGGATCCAGGTAGCCACAATGCATCCTTAGCTGATAATTTCCCAACCATCCGATTATGTGCTGCGAGATCATGACATCAAAAGGAATCTCTTGACCATATTGATTTTCAAAAATCTTCAAGATCCCATATTGGAGGTGCATTGCAACATTTTGAAGGGTCGCCATTTCTATGTGAACATTTTGATACTCTATGAACCACAGGGGAATTTCACGGACATAGAAAACATATTGAAATATTTATATGATGAGAAATTTGTAAATTCGGATGTGTATTATGTCAATGCCACCACTCAGAGGGATGAGGTTTTTGGTTTTGCCACCTTTCCGGAATTTGCAGTGGAAAACAAAACCCATTTGGTGGGCAACATCAAAATGTTCTATCATCGGATTATTGAGAAAACCGACCTGAAGGGTTATCGTTTTGAGACGCCTCTACTTATGGATGCTCCCAAGGTCATAAAGTATCGCAACAACAATGGGGAAATGCGAATACAAGGTGTCACCTACAACATCATGGAAATGTGTTTGGAATATTTGAATGGCACTTTGAAGGAATCCGAAGTCGAATATTCCCCCGATGGTGTGGTGAATATGAAAAATGTGCTGGAAGATGTGCGTCAGCATAAAGTGGAATTGGCTGCGCACGGCTATGCCTTATTCCACAATGATGATGATGTGCAAAAAAGTTATCCCTTACTCGTGGTCAATTGGTGTCTGATGGTGCCGATTACGAACAAAGTGTTCACAATGTTCTATCCCATAATGCCATTCCATTGGACCGTGTGGCTTACCTTCCTTGTGGCCTTTATCCTGATCAACATTGTCTGTTACTTCTTCTCCAAATTCCACAATTTGGACAATAACAATTTTATTTTAATTAATTTTTGTAAATTTATTAATGCCGCTCCACCCATTTCCAGTGATGGCAGTGATATGCCCTGGTTCGTAATGGCCCTGAATGGCTTTATTTATGTTCAGGGGTTCTTTTTGGCTTCGCACTACACCTCGATGTTGGGTAGTTTCCTTGCGGTGACTGTGATCAAGTCGGATGTCAATAGCATTCACGATGTCATACATCAGCATTTGCCCGTTATGATTATTGACTACGAATTGGAGTTTCTACAGGGAGAAGGTTTTAATTTCCCCCAACGATTCTTGGATATGTTGCATCCGGTTAATACTTCGGTTTTCTTTGAACATCAGCTGAATCTGAATAATTCGTACGCGTACTTTGCCACCTATGACACATGGCATTTCCTCAATTTACAGCAGTCCCATTTGAGGCCACCAATATTCCGATACACGGAGGTTTGTTTTGGCGATTATCACATGGCTTTTCCCATGGTTGCGGAATCGCCAATTTGGCGTGATATTGAATACTTAATGTTTCGTATCCACTCATCGGGCCTATACTATTACCATGAGAAGAAATCATTTGAATATGCTTTACGGGCAGGAGTGGTGCGTCACTTGGTGGAAGATCCTTCATTTCATACAGTCGGCTTTACTCACTTGCGCATGGTTGTGGGATTTCTCATAATCGGTTATTTTTTGGCATTCTTAAGTTTTCTTCATGAATTGTGGCAAAAGCGAAAGGAGAAGAGATCCTAAGGAAAGTGGGCTCAAAAAATCAAAGAATACGGTCAAATTCGAAAGGAAGATATATCTGAATCTTAACTCATATCTGTAGTATTAGAATACCAACATTATGTAGTAAAATATAAATGTAGTTCTGCTTTAAGTTTGAATGTTTTATTTTCCAACCCAATTTGGCTGAAAAGGCCGTTTTCACGTTATAGGTCAAAGGAAGTGTTTAGGGGTATTCTTCATAGAAGAGCTTTAGGTCTTCGTCATAGAAGAGCTTTAGGTCTTCGTCATAGAAGAGCTTTAGGTCTTCGTCATAGAAGAGCTTTAGGTCTTCGTCATAGAAGAGCTTTAGGTCTTCGTCATAGAAGAGCTTTAGGTCTTCGTCATAGAAGAGCTTTAGGTCTTCGTCATAGAAGAGCTTTAGGTCTTCGTCATAGAAGAGCTTTAGGTCTTCGTCATAGAAGAGCTTTAAGTCTTCGTCATAGAAGAGCTTTAGGACTTCGTCATAGAAGAGCTTTAGTGTTTCTCCATAGAAGAGCTTTAGGGTTTCTCCAAGAAGAGCTTTAGGTCTTCTTCATAGAAGAGCTTTAGGTCTTCGTCATAGATGAGCTTTAGGTCTTCGTCATAGATGAGCTTTAGGTCTTCGTCATAGAAGAGCTTTAGGCGTTCTTCATAGATGAGCTTTAGGCGTTCGTCATAGAAGAGCTTTAGGTCTTCGTCATAGAAGAGCTTTAGGTCTTCGTCATAGAAGAGCTTTAGGTCTTCGTAATAGAAGAGCTTTAGGTCTTCGTAATAGAAGAGCTTTAGGTCTTCGTCATAGAAGAACTTTAGGTCTTCGTCATCGAAGAGCTTTAGGTCTTCGTCATAGAAGAGCTTTAGGTCTTCGTCAGAGAAGAGCTTTAGGTCTTCGTCATAGAAGAGCTTTAGGTCTTCGTCATAGAAGAGCTTTAGGTCTTCGTCATAGAAGAGCTTTAGGTCTTCGTCATAGAAGAGCTTTAGGTCTTCGTCATAGAAGAGCTTTAGGCGTTCTACATAGATGAGCTTTAGGCCTTCTTCATAGATGAGCTTTAGGCCTTCTTCATAGAAGAGCTTTAGGCGTTCTACATAGAAGAGCTTTAGATCTTCTTCATAGAAGAACTTTAGATCTTTTTCATAGAAGAGCTTTAGATCTTTTTCATAGAAGAGCTTTAGATCTTTTTCATAGAAGAGCTTTAGATCTTCTTCTTCATAGAAGAGCTTTAGATCTTCTTCATAAAAGAACTTAAGGTCCTCTTCATTTCAATTCACTTCTTATTAAAATACAATACAAAAACCTTGAAAATCTCTCCAACAAAACATTTCCCTCCCCTCTTCTTCCCTTAACAAGTTATTGTTATTATTTCAGATCCATATCATGGTAATAAGTCCACCACTGAGCCACCAGGTTTTCTTTTATTGTCCTCAATGTTAATTGATTTAATTATTCAATTATATCAGTTACACAAAAGGAATTCAAAATAATTTCTTAATAATTTTCCAATACAGGACAACTAATGCGGGAAAATAATCTGCATGACTTCAACAGGACAACCAAAATGGGTATATAAACCAACTACTTCGGAGAGGTCACAACAAATTGTAATATTCAGCACTCCAAATATGAGGTTTCTCGTGAAAATACTCTTGATTTTGTGTTTCCAATTCGCGAAGAAAAATCACTGCTCAGCAACCGTCCACCCTGAAGATATTCTACGCAAGCAAGTGGAACTTTTAATAAGAACTATGAAAACCGTCAGTTTCTACAATCAATTTGATAATATCATCTTCTATGGAACTCCAAATGAAATGTATGATGTCCCCCTAAATACCAGCAGCCTATTGTCGAATATTGGAACGGAGGTGCATAAAAGTATTGGAGATATTGTAACGGAATTTATGTTCACCAATGCCATCTACAAACCGGTTATGATGTTCACCATTGCACCCTGGGATTATGTGAATACCACCAAGCGAATACCAAATTTGGGGAAAATATTAACCAATCGAAATTTGGCAGTGATTTTGATCAACGATATATTCAATGCGGAATTAAAAGAATTTGTTTCCACCTCCTTGGGTGCTAGTTTGGAAACTAAGTTGATATTTCTTTTAATTGGTCATGAATTGACAGATGTAATGTCTTTTATACGTACCGAAAAGCTGATGAGATTTTTTCGTTGGTGTTGGTCGAAAAATATTCTAAATGTTATACTGATGTATCAGGAGGATCATGTAGAGGGGGATATTAATAATTTAAAAATGGAAATCTTGACATATTCACCATTTCCCAGGCCCATACAATTGATAAGTTTAACGGATATTCATCCGTTTTATTATTATTGGGATAGGACGTTGGATGTCAAGGGTTATGAGTTTAAGACCCCTGTGTTTCATGATAAACCCAGTGTTTTTAAGGTAAGAAAGATATAAAAAGGATTTTCAATATTTAATAATTTTTTTGTGGAATACTTACAGGCCAAACGTTTGGATAGTGATGTGGAGGAAGTCACCGGAATTGCTGGACATTTGTATTTGGAATTTGTAAAAAGCATCAATGGGAAATTTGTTGAAATGGAAGAAACTCCTGATGACCATCCTATGATGGTGGATTATGAAAATGAATTGCTGGTGGCACGTAACATAGATATTGGTATACATCCTTTTTCGAATATTTTACCACACAATTATCATGGCAGCTATCCCATAACAAATACCAATAGTTGTGTCTTGGTGCCAGTTATTCCCGAAATCTACGTGGGCCATTATATACCAAGGATTTTAAATCGATCAATGTGGCTGCAGATTTTGGTATTATTCATTAGCTTTCAATTGGTGTATTTTGTCATAGATAAAATAAATTTAGGCCAATGGTATCCATGGAAATCCATATCCCTAACCTTAAGGGGTATGTTAAGTATGCCATTGGGAGAGATAAGTAATTCAAAAATATTTAGCCATTTATCCCATAGTCGGCTGCTATTTGTACACATATTGGTCATAATAACGGGTATGCTTTATAGCCTGAGTTTTATTGCCGGCCTTACATCGGCCTTAAGTGCCACCATTTTTGGTAAAAAGTTTGAAACTTTGGAAGATCTAAGACAGGCCAATATTTCCATAATGCTACTGGATTATATGTATTTAATTTACAATTATATGGATATAATACCAAATAGTTTTGAAAAAAATTTATATATTACCGATGTTGATACAGTGTCGCACCATTTGAATTCGCTGAATACCTCGTTCGCTTATGTCGTCTACAATGAAGAATGGAAGGTGTTGCAGTCGTTACAGGAAAAATTGTGGAAACCACGTTTTCGTATTGCTTCAAAGCTGTGTATCGCCAATGTTTATCTATCGCTGCCAATGCAATTTAATTCGCCATTTTATCATCCCCTCAAGAACTTTATAATGCGTATACGTGAAACCGGTTTGGAAATGAAATGGACCAATGATATTTTAAGAGATATACGTGAGACTACAAGTGGTGTAAATTTATTGAACAGCGGGGAGGAACATCCTGTGCCATTGACATTTGAGCATCTTAAAGTTATTTGGATTGGTTGGCTTATTGGTATGTCTTTGGCAATAATTGTATTTTTTGTGGAAATTTATCTAAAAACAAGATGTGAAGATAAAAAGAAAAGAAATAATAGAAAACGAAAAATTATTAAAAAAATAATTAAAATTTAAAACAAAAATGAAAATTAAAGTGATTGAAAGTAAGACAAATGTTTCATTAAACGTACTTTTAATTATAACGCCTAAAAGTATGCTTTGATTTTTGTTAATTTGTCAATGAAAATAAACGATATGTTCATTTTACAATTATATATAAAAAAGGTATACAAAATATATTAAAAAATATAAAAAATATATAAAAAAGTATATAAAAAAATATAAAAATATATATAAAAAATATATAAAAAAGTATATAAAAATAAATAAAACAATATATAAAAATATATAAAAATATATATAACGTAATATATATAACATAATATATATAAAATAATATATACGAAAATAAATAAAAAGTATAAAATATACAAAAAAATTATAAAAATAAATCAGTAGAACTTTCATAACTCGAACCACCATTATTCGAAAAAAAACTTCGACTTATGAGGACTTCGAGTTACGGAATTAAATATAATTTTCCTCCTACATATGTTTCGACTTATGGACGTTCAAATGTATATATGAAAACATACCATAAATTATACGAAAAATTTAAAAATCGACCTTTATATAATTTTAAAACACATCCCAAAAATATATTTTTATAAGTTATGTATTTTTTGATTTATTTTTGTTGTAACACGATACAATAGTTATTTTAATAATATGGAATATATTTGCTGTTGTTGTTGTATGTATGTATGTTTATATCTTTCTTTATAAATACTTTTTGTTGTTGTTAGTTTGTTAGGTTATTTTTTTTCATTATCTGTTATTATTACTATTTACTTTTTAGATTCAAACTAAAGACAAAAAGAAGGAAAACATAAAAGATTGCACTTATAATTAAAACATTTATAAACTAAAGAAAATTGTTTTTGTGTTTAAAACATAAATAAGCATCATTTCAAAGAAAAAAATACATTTACTCTATAGCTATGTTGGAGTGTATGCGCGTGGGTGGTGTATATCTATATTTATAAATATATAAAATAAAGAGTATATACAACGAGGTAAATTACGTTAGTTTTTGAGATAACGGCAGAGAACAAAGTAGAAACTAATTAAAATAAAATTGTTTTTCTGTTTCAAGTGGCATTTGAAAGCGATAAGAGGAGTATAGGGTTATTGATTTCTGGTGTTGTTTATTTACTCTCCACCATGAAGGTAAAATCCTTATCAACACCATATAATTGTTGTTGTTGCAATATGCCTTAGCAGTTCATTTGTTTTTGCTACATTTGGTTCTGGTTTTTTTGTTTTCAGCAGATATACATTTTTGAGCTTGCCTGTCTGTCATTGTCATGTAGTTAAGGGAGGAAAAGAAAAAATAGTTTTGTTTTTTTTTTTATATGAAAATGTTCCACTAACTGCACTGTGTATTATTTTGAGATTTTTCTTTAGACTCTTTGGATTTCGAATAGCTTCACTTCGGTATCATACCAAATTGCTGGCTCAACATTACGCAAATAAATTACACCCCATATATAGGTACGGAACCAGGCAGTAGTTCCCGCGTTAGCCTGATATTTCCTTATAAGTATGGGATGTGGTACAGGCAAGAGACCAACAAGGGTACCATGTTGTAGAAATTTTAAAATTTCCGATTCATCTGTAAGACCTTTATCTATACATATTTTCTCCACTTGTGGCACTAAGACCTGCAGCAGACGCATAATGGTTTGCAAAGGCAATTTCGAACGCCATGAAACTATCCATTCAGGTGTGGGTGTCCAAACTTCCATTGAGGGCTGATGGACCATGCGTATGCTGCTACGTGGTGCCACCGAAAGACGATTATTCGATTTCACGTCCCTTTCAAAGTTACCATTAACTGGGCTGTTTGCACGAGACTCGGATGGGGATTTTTCCGAGGTTTTGTCGAACGGAACAATGTCCGAAGTGCCATCAATTGTTGGAGTCTGCTCAGTTGAATCATTACTTCCCGGATGAGCGGTCTCCCTTTCAGTCATTTGCAATAAGGCTGGGGTATCAGGCAAAGATGCCTTCAAGGTGCCCGGTTCAGCGGGCATGGCCGTTAAAGCACCTTCCATTTGCTTCTCCTCACCATGCAGCTGTTGAGACTCTGTTTCAGACTCAACATTGTTGCTGTTATTTAAAATGGTGCCATTTTTGGTTACACTACTTTCACTTTCCTCCTCCAAATCATCCTCCTCATCTTCATCATCATCCTCAACACAGTTGGGCAATTGATTTTGGAAATTTTGCACCACCGTTGTAATTCTCTTCTGCCTTACGGGTGGTAAATTGAATTTTCCCACCTTGCGGCCACTCAGACATTTTGCAATGCCATTCATGTCAGTTGGCAGATTGGCCATGGCATGGAATACATGACGTTTCCGAATAATCGTATAAACCAAATTGGAATTGCCATCGAATTGATATTGAATGATGTTATTGAAGATTTCCAATAAGAAAAATACCAAATGATGATTACTGGGAGCCGAGAGTAGAAACCATGGTGTACTGAAAGCCTCTAATAAATGCAACAGTTTAACACTGGCCACCATGGATAAAGTCTTGAGATAGGGTGAAACATTCACCAGAATTGTCAGCAAACAGTCGAACAAAGGCTGCAGACGTTGATGGCCCGTGGCTATGATTTTGTGAAATACTGTTATCAAGAGATCGGCATGGGTACCCGTGAACACGGGAATGTCCATAGGCACAGTAGCAGTGTAGGGTTTGTTCAGGCGGACACCGAAGTTGCGTTCACCTATAAAACGAAAGAGAGTTAAAACAAATTTTTAATAACTAAACTATGAGTCACTCACCCGACAATAACAACAAAATAAAAACACCAATATGCATTAATCCAACCTTGGATTGATCGGCTCTCGAATAGTTCAAATGATAGAGTATGGGTATTAGTATATCCAAAACATCCGAACTTTTCAAAACGAAATACAAAAACTTTTTATTGTAGTCGCATATTTTCCAAAACAAAATCAATAGCTCTTGATGACAATGGAGACGTTTGGTTGAATTGGGTAAATAGTTTTGAACCAGAGGGTTGTTTAGCAAACGTGTAATGCCTTTGAGAATAAAATGGAAATCTTCATCTCGATGTACCCGGGACAAATAATTGATGAATAAATTATCGCCACAAACATCGTCATATGGCGATGGGGCAGGTAATTTGCCATGGCGTTGTAGCTCCAATTGTTGCTGCTGTTGTACAATCATATCATGATCCAATGTTACAATTAATATTTGCAAACATGCCTCCACCAATGCCTCTGTAGTATCGGTGAACAATAGATGGTTGTAGGGTACACCAAAACCCACCGGATCATATGCACACACGGTGTTTAAAAAGGATGTGAAGAGAGGCAATGCATGGCGATTATCAGCCGATGTAAAGTATGCAATCCATTTATTCGGCTCCTCAGTGGGCTGTGGTGCACGGTACATTGGTTCGGAGAAACAAGTCAGCAGTAATTTCAACAATTCCGTACGCCTCTTTTCCATATTGGCATTTTTCGGTGGCGAATGGGCAAAACCCACACCAGCTTCCCAAATATATTCACAGCTATCGATGTTGGCCAATTCTTCTGCCTTTTCCGGTCCGGGACGCCTTGTGGCCGCTGTCACAGTGAAATCCGGACAGAATAGTAAATCACACACTGCATTTAGCAAAGATTGGGCCAAGGGTACTGTTTGTTGATGATGAGCCAAGGGTTCTGATTCAGCACCCACCCTTGCCAAATCCTGGTGGCTGGCCTCTTTACCCCCAGCTGGTAAGCTGCTCCAAAAGAAATGACGCCATTTGTCATCCTCAAAAATATACGGGATAATGCGTATCAGCAAACGGACACAGTTCATAACACACGACTGTTCGGCCTGAGTGCGACAGCTGTTGTCGACCGCCTTCGCCAATTTTTCCACTGCCTTGTAGCAGAGTGTCGCCAAATTGGCAGGATTATCATTGCGTATGTTGCGTATCTCGGCAGCCGTTACCAAGGCGAAAACATCTTCCAACGTCGTTTGATGTCCACTCCAAAATTGTTCCCAAAATGGATCGTCAGCATCGATCTTTTGATTTTTCTGTGTGAGTTGGACAATTGATTTGCGAAAGTTTAACTTGGAATCACTATTTCCCATATTGCATCAATTTGAGGCGGTATTCTCACACAAAACTTAGTTGATTTTGGTGTTGTCGACAACACACAATTGAGAATTTTTAATAATTTTACAATATAACGCACAAATGTTTGTAAATTTTGATAAATTAAGATTTTTTTTCGCAACTCCCACTGATGAAGAAAAAAAACCAAAACACGTACTCTGAAAAATTTTCTCTGAGACAGAGCTACCATATGAGAGTGACACTTGGCAAAAAAACATTTTTGACAGTTACTTTAGGGTTTAGGTGGTAACATTGCAAAAAACCAATGGCAACCTGTGTGGCCTGGTGAGATATCAAATTGTTGAAACACGTATTTGTTTTTACAGCCTGTTTTTGTAATTTGTTCCGGCAGTCACACGTATCGTTCGTATTAAAACGTATACGTCGAAAATTTGGTTTTTGTAATAATTGTAAAAGCTTTCGTCTAGAAACGATTGAGCTTTTTCATTCGTTTATATACCATTAGTGCCAAAGTGTTTCTTTTGGTATCTTGTTGCAAATTTTCCAATAGAATTATTGCAAAATGAGGGTAACTCTGTTTATTGTTTACAAACAGTTTTTTTTTACATAAAAAGTGTCAAAATAGAAAATTCAAAATGTTTGGTACGATTGCAATTAATTTTAATTATAAAGAAAAGCAAAATATTCCCCAAAGGAGAATACCTATGGCATTTAATGATACAGCTACATTATTCCACTTGTTATCCACTTCAAATTTATTGGATCCGAAAACAGGACGGCCAGTTGCTAATTGTGGGTAAAGTTCCATGAGATCAACCAATTTTTGGAATTGGGCAATCGTTGTCCTTTTGTTGCTAGGGGTTCAAACAATTCAATATAATTTTTTACATTTCATAGGGATATATAATTTTTTACAAACCATTTCTTCTTATATATTTCATCAGTATTTTCCATATTTGTTGCGTTCTTTTCACTAACAACACACAAATTGTAATGAACAAATAGTTTTCTTTATTATTTTTTTTAAACGAATGGTTTTTCTCTTCGTTTGTCTTTGACATTTTTGTTCGTAAATAACGCACCGTTTTGTATAACAAAAACCAAAAAAATACGAATACCAAAAGCTCTTTCCTATTTCTCACTCACTACAACCGGTAATTTGTTTGCGAAAACCAAAATGAGTAATCGTTCGCTTTTTCGACGAACGAATGGACATTTTACATTTACAAAAACAGGCTGTTAGAGTATTTCCTGTTATTTATTTATTTTCAAGATTTTCTAACTCATTTAGAGGAATATTTTTCCTGTAGTTATCATTTCTATATAAAAAGGGTTATCATTTGTATATATATAGTCTGATGTAGATAGTTATGGAAATGTTCACTAATGAGTACTAAATGATGCTTTATTTGATACAATTTGGATTTAGGTGATCATAAAAATTGGAATTAAGATTAATGTTGGAGTGTAGGATTGAGATATGTAGGAAGATCTTGAAAATCGTATTGAATAAATTATGTAAAATTTAAATTTGGATAATCCGATTGGGCTAGAATACTAAAATTGGGAAATATGATTTCTATTTGATTGTTGGAAAATTATACTAATAGTACTAACATTTTAGGCAGTTTACTGCGAAAACGAAACAATAGAACATTTTAATATAATAATATATATGTTTGATTATAATTTTGATTTGATTATAATTTATATCAATATTTATTTTTTTCTACAATTTAGCACATTTTCTCAACTGAAATCTCCCTCTTTCTTTCTCATAAAATAGTTTAACGAACTAAAAGAGCAACAAATCGAATAACTCCCTGACTCTCTCACCATTAAATACTTTAATTCTTTGTAGTTGTTCTTTAAACTTCACTCGAGTTAATTTATATTTATTATTATTATTTTATATTTTGATTCACCTCCATTTTGACCCATTTTTCCTCCAATTATCATTCAATCCTCTTAATATTATGCATATTACCACATCTACCCAATTAACGTCTCTCTCTCTCTCTTACACACAAATCATATGGCATGCTTATGCACTAAACAAAAACAAAACAATTGTTGCCATATCCCTGGCAAACCACTGTCAGTTCTGACAGTTTGAAAACGTCATCAAGTTAAGCTAAGAAAATTTAGATTTTTTGTGTCGTGGTTGCGTGTAAAGTTATGTTGCAGAAAAATTTACAAATATGTTGAAAACTCATTATTTAAAATGTGAATAGAATAACCTGAGAGAGAGGATTCTTGCCCGGCTGTATATATAGTATTATTAATAAAAAAAAGTTTGCAACTAGAAAAAACTTTAACAAGAACAACAAAAAAGTATAGGCAACCTGTCTGCCAGTCACTACACCCTCAATCGATTTTGAGGAAAAGTTTTTTTGTTTTTCTTTTGTGTGTGCTGCGGAAAACTGTTTGTAATATATTTTTCAGTGGAGAAAGGAAAACTGCATCACAATGTCACTGCCAGGAAACGGCATATTTGTGGTCCGTGGCGAAATGTCCACATTAATGACCGCAATGCGCAGGGGCTCCCGTTGGAATGCCTCAGCATACGTGGTAAGTAATTAAAACAAGACGACATACAGACAGACATACGACCGACCATCATCACATATGGACGTGTATGTATGTAGTTGGGCCAAGATGATTTCGGCAAATGCTACTATATACACACGTACGTATATTTGTTTGTAAATATATGTCTATAGTATTTGTTTTTGCGTTTGCATCTCAATGATGTTGATGTTTTTTTTTTCTGTTAGGATGAGGAAAAAGATGGTCTGATGAAATTATTTATGGATCTGAAACAAGTTCTCAATCGCATTGAAGATCTAAGATTAATAGATCCGAATGTTTTCTTGGCACCTTTCTTGGAGGTTATACGCACCGAAGAGACCACGGGAGCTGTAACCAGTTTGGCATTGTCAGCCATTAATAAATTTTTGTCCTACGGCTTGATTGGTAAGTACTCTCAAAATATTCATACTAATATTCAAATTAAAGTCCTTCCTTTTTTTTTGCAGACCCCACCTGTCCCAACCTGGCTGTGACCATAGAAAACATAGCTGATGCTGTTACTCATGCCCGTTTCATGGGCACAGACCAATCCTCGGATGGTGTTACCCTTTTCCGTGTCGTCGAAGTTCTACACACTCTAATGCGCAGTCCTGAGGGTTCCATGCTAACCAATGAATCTGTGTGTGAAGTAATGCTTAGCTGTTTTAAAATATGCTTTGAACCTCGCCTCAATGAGTTGTTGCGCCGCTCTGCCGAACAGGCTCTAAAAGATATGGTGCTTTTGTTATTTATGCGTTTGCCACAATTTGCAGATGATCGCACAGAATCGGGTATGCTGAAAAAATTCCAAATGATGGCTGCATCCATGGAAAAGGATAAAAAACAACGTAAACGTTCATCGAAAATTGCGGCCAGCCAGGAGAACTTGGCGCGCAGCCAAAGTTATAAAGGGTCTGATCTATCTAAAGCTGGTGGTGAGGAGCAAAGGAAAATTTCCACCAACTCAGCCCCGGGAGATGAGGTGCAACAACCAAATTCCGCAACTCCAGGGCATTTACATACATTAAAAGCTCCTCCATTGGCCACCACACCGGCCACACCAGCTGGCAATATTGTGGATTTGCAGGGTAAAATAACTCAAACCCCTACATCAGCAATAAATATTGCTTCGGCCCAAGATGCTGAGACAAATGAAAGCATACCAACAGATCAGAATGCTCCCTTGATATCAGTGGAACCAGCTTCACCACCCACAAACAACATTCCGGATGACAACTCTGAAGCCCGACCACAATCTCCTTTATCCCAAGGTGGTAGCAGTGAATACATTAACTCCGTCGGCGTGCGTTTTACCCAACAAAATTCCGTAGATGTTTCTGAGGGCATGGCTCCTTTGGTACCATATGGTTTGCCCTGTATTCAAGAACTATTTCGTTTCTTGATTTTGCTGTGTAATCCTTTGGATAAACAAAACACCGATACCATGATGCACATGGGTTTGAGTTTGCTAACTGTGGCCTTTGAAGTGGGAGCAGATAATATGTTGAAGTATGACTCACTATTGCAATTGGTCAAGGATGACTTGTGTCGCAATCTCTTTGCGGTAGGTATTCACTTACACCGATTTTTGTGTTCTCATCTAATTGGATTTTTTTCTTTTTCATTTCAGCTCATGAACTCAGAACGTTTGACCATATTTGCCGCAGATTTACAAGTCTGTTTCCTTATGTTCGAATCAATGCGTGGCCATTTGAAATTCCAATTAGAAAGCTACCTCAAAAAGTTGTCGGAAATCATTGCCAGTGACAATCCAAAGACCCCATATGAAATGCGTGAATTAGCTTTGGACAATCTGTTGCAGTTGTGGCGTATTCCAAACTTTGTCACCGAGCTTTATATCAACTATGACTGTGATTTGTATTGCAGCGATTTGTTTGAGAGTCTGACAAATCTCTTATCAAAATACACGCTATCGGCCACAAATGCCATATACAATACCCACATCTTGGCAATGGATACTCTAATATCTGTGGTCGATAATATTGAAAGTAATTGTGTGGCAGCGAAAAATGGATGTGTCACACAATCAGACACTGCAGCTGGTGGAGTTGCCACACAATCTTCTTCCTCGCTACGTCACTCGCGTCAAAATTCCGGCCTAGAGGGTATTGTTATTGATGATCCCAAAACAGCAGAAGATAACTATGTGGAGAATATTTCCAAATTTATTAACACATCCTCGCGATTACGTTCTCTGTCTGGAGATACTGCTGCCAAGAAGGCCATAACTGGAGAATATCTAAAGGAAGTGAAGCATAAAAAGCGGGTGCTTAGTCAAGGCACTGAATTGTTTAATCAACGACCCGATAAGGGTATACAATTTCTACAAGATAATGGTATACTGAATCCCGAATTAGATCCAAGGGAAATTGCCTCATTTTTACGTGAAAATCCTGGCTTGGATAAGAAAATGATTGGCGAATATATATCGAAAAAGAAGAATGTTGATTCAAAAATTCTAATGAATTTTGTAGAGTCCTTCGATTTTAGAGGGCTACGTGTTGATCAGGCTTTACGTTTGTATTTGGAAACATTCCGTTTGCCTGGTGAGGCTCCGTTGATATTTTTGGTTTTGGAACATTTCTCCGAACATTGGCATGTAAGTAAAATAAGAATGAGAAAAAAAGAAATATGTTTTAATTTGTTGCCTTCTTTTTGTAGAAACAAAATGGCGAACCATTTGCCAATACGGATGCGGCCTTTAGTTTGGCATATTCCATTATTATGTTAAATATGGATCAACATAATGCCAATGCCAAGCGTTTAAATATTCCCATGACCCAAGAGGATTTCCTTAAGAATTTGAGAGGTTTGAATGGTGGTGCCGATTATGACCAAGATTTACTTGCAGCCATTTATAATGCCATCAAGTAGGTTTTAATTTTCTTTTCAGGAAGAATTTCATTACAGCAATCTTTGAAATCTTTTTTAGGAATGATGAAATTATCATGCCTGCTGAACAAACCGGTTTGGTGCGTGAAAACTATTTGTGGAAGGTATTGCTAAGACGTGGCGCAACATCCGATGGACTCTTTACCTATGTACATGATTCCACCTATGACATGGACATCTTTAATGTCATCTGGGGTCCATCGCTGAGCTCATTGAGCTTTATGTTTGATAAGAGCAGTGAGAATGGTTATCAACGGACTTTGACAGGCTTTACCAAATGTGCTGCCATTTCGGCTTTCTATGGCCTCCACGAAGACTTTGATGCCTTGATTTTAACCCTGTGTAAATTTACCAGCATTCTCAGTTCCGCACAACTGGAGACAACACATCCAGCACCTAATGAAATTGTTCAGGCTGTTAATTTTGGCCTCAATCCCAAAGGTCAAGCTGCCATGCGTACCGTTTTCGCCTTGGTTCATGATTATGGTGACTGTCTAAGAGATGGCTGGCGTCATATATTGGATCTATACTTACAACTTTTCCGTTTGAAACTCTTACCAAAATCTCTAATGGAGGTTGAAGATTTCTGTGAACCATCGGGCAAGGCCCAGTTGATATTGGAAAAACCCAGTCAAAAACAAGAATCGGGCATATTTTCCAGTCTCTATTCATATCTATCGTCCGAGGGACAACGTGAACCTTCCTATGAGGAACAGGAATTTATAAAGATTGGCAAGAAATGCATCAAAGAATGCCAACTGGATCAAATGATACAGGAATCGAAATTTGTCCAATTGGAATCACTGCAAGAATTGTTGAAGCAAGTTTTAGGCTCTCTCAAGGCCCCAAGTGCCCATAAATCCATTGGCATGCCTTATGCCGAAGATGTTGTTGTCTTCTGGATGGAATTTTTGGTTAAGATTGTCATTTACAATCGTGATCGCATGATTCCCCTGTGGCCTGCAGTTCGTGATCAAATGTACCTGTTGCTAATGGGAAGCTCATCCTGTGGCTATGATTATTTACTCAATCGTTGTATTGTGGCCATGCTTAAGTTGGCCATATATTTGATGCGCAACGAAGAGCTATGTCCCATTGTTTTGAAATCATTGAAAATGTTGTTAATGTTGAAGCCGGCAGTCATCTTGAGGATTTCCAAACAAATTTCCATTGGAATGTATGAGCTGTTGAAGACATCAGCCCAGAATATACACTCCGAACAGGATTGGCAAATTGTTTTTACGATTTTGGAATGTGTGGGTGCTGGAGCTGAGCCTCCGGAATATGATGATGCCTCATTGCCGGTGCCAAATGGTTTGGCTGCCAAATCAGATGGTGCTCTAAGTAGTGAAGAGGATTCGGGTTTGCCTGATCGTGGTTATACCTCCGATTCTGAATTGAGTAGCAAACAGGCGGCTGGTAGTAGCAAACAACAGCAGATACCAGTTATGCAAAATTCAAATGCCAGCAGTCCATTCCCCTCCAGTCCCACCGCCGAAAATTGGATATTGGTTAATAAGGATACCGATTTGGCTGCTTCAAGGTAGGTTTTCTTTTTTGTACTGTTTTCTATTTTATTATTTTGTTTTCTATTTTTCTTTAGGCCACAATCACCACCAGAATCGATTGGTGCTGTTCCTCCCACGCTATCTAATCTGGTTTACAACTGCAAGCTGTTAGATCACATGCCTTTTGCTTTGTTCAAATGTTGGGATTCATTGGCATTTATTGTGCGTAATGTGGCCCATATAACGCCCTACAACTTTGAGAGTTGTGTTCGTTGTATTCGCACCTTTGTGGAGGCATGCCGTGACGGTGGCATACGCCAGAGACGTAAAATGGAAGCTGCTTTGTCCGCTGCTGCCGCCGGACAAAAGAAAAAGTCCAATAACAAACGTCAAGATCGTTCCAATGAACGTAACAAACATGACGATGATAACGGTGCGGGCCCGGAGGATGCCGATGAAGCCGATTTGGCTCAACGTTATGAAACCTTGTCAATCCAATTACTTGACCTTATGTATACTCTATACACTAGAACTGCCCAAATATTCCGTTGGTGGGCAGAAGAAGGTTGTGCTGTGCCACAGTGTTCCGCTCTGTGGGCCCAGGGATGGTGTCCCCTGTTGCAGGGTATTGCACGCCTGGCCATGGATCGTAGACGTGAAGTAAGGACCTATGCCATATCATGTCTACAACAAAGAGCTTTGCTTGTACACGATTTACAAACTCTGTCGGGCACAGAATGGGCTTCCTGCTTCCAACAGGTTTTATTCCCACTACTCAATGAACTATTGCCCGATAGTGCTGCTGTGGCTCACTTGGATCAAGTACTATTGGAGGAATCTAGAATACGCACAGCCACAATTATGTCAAAGGTATTTTTACATCATCTAACACCGTTAATTGAGCTAGGCAGTGCCTTTAATGATTTGTGGATGCAAATTTTGGATTATATTGAGAAATTTATGAAAGTCGGATCGGATATGTTGTCGGAACAAATGCAAGAAATCCTCAAGAATATGTTGTTGGTAATGCATTCGGTGCGTGTTTTCCACAACAATAATGGAACGATACGTGCGGATTTGTGGGAATTGACCTGGAAACGTATTGGCGAGTTCTTACCCAATCTTAAAGATGAACTTTTCCGTGATGAAGGTATGTAGAATCGGTATGTCATTCATTAATCATAATCATGGTTTTCATTCATGCAATCATTAAGAAAATGTGATAATTCGTTACGGCTAGTTTTGAAGGCAAGGGCAATAATTTTTGAAAGGAAATGAAATGTCTAAAGAAAATGAATTTAACAATTGATTTAAAACGTTGGGTAACTTTTGGTCAGTCAATAATTTAGTTTTTTTCCCAATTTTGCATTCATTATTGGTTTTCACCCTTTCATTTTTTTTGAGTTCAAGAACCCAAAAGTCCATTTCATGAAATCATTATAAAAATAAGTTTCTTAAGAAATGCACAGTGCAGTATAGTGAAACATTTGCACTAAATTTAAGGTAACCGGGCACATGTTATGAAACAACCCAGTCAACCAGCAGCAGCTGCAGTGGTCTCCCCAGCATCTACTCCAGCGGTGGCAATATTACCACAAACAACAACAACGACCGCAACCTCATTGCCTAGCAATCAGCAGACGCCAATCCAGACGCCACATTTTGTACCATCCCCAGTTTCGTTAATATCACCTGTGGAATCACCTCGGCACAGTATAATTTTGCAACCACCTGTGGCTGATTCTCTACAGCAACAGCCCATATTCTATGGACAAGTAAGTGGAAATAAAATATAAATTAAATATATTCTGAAATTAATTAATTTCCTTTTCCACAGTTGCCTGTAAACAATATGCCGATTATTGTGCCACAACAACAGACGCCTATTGCTCAAACCCAGGCCAATAATGACCAACAACAGCCATCGTGCACTACCATAACATCGCCAATATTGTCCCAGGATAACAATCAGCAAGGTGTTCAAGTGGTATCGATGAATTCTCCAAATAATGAACCACAATCGACAACAAATGCCCAATCCAGTCAACAACAACAACCGGAACAGAGTGTCCCTGCGACCATCACAGCTCCAACTGTATCACAACATAATGCAACAGCTAATGTTCAGACTGCTGCCCCCACACAATTCAACACCACGGTTCCTAATATGTTTCCCAATACAGCAACCACATCTAGGCCAGCCTTGGCATCAACAATGATCCACCCAAATCCTGTGCCTATTGATAGTAATTCATTTTCCATCGAATTATATGATAGCACACCTGATGTTTATCAGAGTCATGCTGCCACTTCGATGGCATATAGTAATGCTCCTGAAGAAAAACCGGAACAAACTCATCTTAGGCATGTACTGCAAGATCAATACAATCAATACTACAAACAATATAAGCTGCATCAGGAAATGCAACAACAAAGTGGTGGTGGTGCCAGCAACGAGACACTGAATGCTAGCCAGCAAGCCAACAACACCAGCAGCCAGCTGAACACCTCTGTGTTTAGTGGTGATGAAGTCAGCACCATTGCTGAAATAGAGGCAGAGTTTAAGGCGGCCGCCGATGAACCAAATACAGCTCCCAAAGTTCCAATCAGTCATCTTCTGGCTGGTAAAGAATATCCATCATTACAAAAGCAACCCACACCTGCCATTGTTCAAAGTTTCACTCCCGTCTATGTGCAGCAGACGGCCACCACAAGTCAGCAACAAACCGGCGGTGATATTTATCAGGAATATGTACAGAATCCCTACAATCTAACCTTGCAACAATCGCAAATGCCAACAGCTGTGCCGTTGGTCAGTGTGGAACAACATCAGCAGAATTTAATGCGTTTGCAAATGCAGTACACAATGGGATGTAATACCGATCCAAATATGTATGTCTTTGGACAACCCTAAAATCCACAAAACTTCATGGATTTCCAGAAATTGTCATCATAGGTATGTAAGTAATAATCAAAAGAGAGCAAAGAGGATCAGGTGGTAGTAATTAATCTCTACATCATTTGGAGACAGTTACTGTCTGAAACAAATGATTTGCTAAGGGACGATGGGGTAGAGAATGCAGTGGAATATATTATGGTGGATTTGTAATATTGTTGTACACATTCCACCCGTTAGTTTTGTTTGTACGTTTTTAACTTTGTTTAGCTAAATTAAGTTGTAATTCAATTGATTATGTATGTCATTAAGCTACTGTGCATTGTTCACAATCGATAAAAGCGGAGCAGGCATAGAGCATTTATAATTAAATCAATTTTGAAAACAAAAGAAAAAATATTAATTCATTATAAAACAAATGTTGTTTATCTTCTTAACATATAATTTATATACGCAAAAAATGAAAAGAAAAAACATTTAATTGAATATAATCTATGTCAATCTGTAACTGTACATAGCATAATTGATATAAAAAATAAATAAATAAATATCTTATCAAATATATACATATAATTGAGTTCAATATATTTTTTATTAATTATTTTAAAATATGATACTCGTGATAAGATCCTTTAATGTTCGATTATGATGTTTTTTGTATAGCATACTTTTAGGCTGTTACTACAGTCGAACTTACATTTTCATCAAGTCGAAGCACAGTAGTAACAGTAGCATTAAGGAGGCAAATGATATTTAATTCCATAACTCAAAATCTTCATTTCCATTTATGGATTTTTTTTTCAGGATAATGTTGGTGCGAATTATAGCAGTTTGATTTTTCTATATAAATTCTTAGTCCTTGAGTACAATATTTTCTCAATAGAAACGATCTCATTTGATGAAGACATCCTCAGCTCCGAAAAACGTTGATTTTTTTTATGAAAAATATTCAATATTTGGGTATAGGTTACTTATATTTAATGTAATTGAATGATAGTCTTCCCGACCCCGATTGAATAAATTACTATGGGAGTAATCTATGATAAAAATAGAAAAATTGCATCATATAATCATTTCTATTGAAAACATGCAAAAACAAATTTGTTATAATCCTGAATTATTACAAATATCAAGTGCATTCAATTTTTATTTATTTCTCCCTCGTTTTCAAATGAAAATTTATTGAAAAATGATTATATTTTAACGATCACAAGTCAAATTTCATTGTTTCTATATATGCAAAAGCTAAAAACTGTGAAAACAACTTTACCATACGTAAACCACTAACTACGACTATAATTGACATATAGGGCACCCTATGTCGACAACGATGATTGATAAATTAAATAAATATTTATAAGTATTTAGTAGTATTTATAATTTTATTTAATTATATAATTAACTTGTGGAATAGTTATTGTAATTAATTCTCTAGCCTCTTAATTTAAAAATCGAATCGAAAATCAACTTACGTATCCCTATTTTGTTGGGAGAATCCAACAACTGATTGGCATTTTTCCATTCTATTACCGTTTTTGCTTTACACCACATTCGTAAACATCACCGGCCACCGTCCCATTTTGTTTCGATGTTGGTTTTTACCGCACAGTCTCTCCTGTCTGTTATTCGTGTATATTAATCAAAGCATCTGGAACGTTTTTAAATTTGGTTGGTTCAATCGGTTAAAGGCTCGAAGAGGTTACTCAACGCAGTGATTGGCAAAAAGGACATTCAATTATACGAAACAATGGCATTTTTATTAAGAAACGCCATACCCACTATGGTGGTACGGAATCTGCTGAGACCTATACAAACAAATGCTGGAACTTTGTATTTGTGCCAAAGGCAAAGACCCAACGATGATGGCGAAGAATCGAGTGGTCCACCGAAGAAACCAATGAACAAATCATCGTCTTCGCTAAAGATTACCTTAATGCAAAATCAAAATGTTAGCGTTACTTCATTGGAAGAGGCCAAGAATTTGGCCAAACGACGTTCAATGCATTTGGTGCAGGTGCAAAAATTGGATACCAAGACGCAGAGACCGGTTTACAAGTAAGGATATTTAGAATGATACAAATAGAATGATTAACAACAATAAAATAGGATCAAACTAGACTTTAAAATAAAGTCGAATCTGGAATGCGAACCATTACTGGAACAGTATTGAGAATTTAAGAAAAATCCAAAAATCAGATTTGACTGTTATATTTATATAATTCATACATACATATATATTTTTTCTACCATTTCAGATTAGTTTCATCCGCCGAACGCCTGCAGGAAGAATTATCCGATTTGAAGGGACAAGATAAGGACGAGAAAACCCCACAAAAGAAATCCGAAAAAACACTCAACATTGGCTCACGCATATCCGATCATGATTTGGCATCACGCTTGAAAAACATTTCCAAATGGTTGGCGAAAAGTCACGAAGTACGCATTTTAATACAAGGCAATGAATCGGAATTGCCTAACTGTGAAAAAATCTACAAAACTATAGAGGAATCCATTAAAACCCCTGAAGTGATTGGAAAAATTGTACAAAAACGCATCAAAGGTTCCGTAATTAAATTTAATATTTTACCCATTGTTAATAAGGAAAATTCAACAATTACAAACCAATGACTCGCGGTGGATGTTAGATCGACGGTAAATGTTCGCCATTATTCAACCCGTGCTAGTGGTGAATGTCAACGTAGAGACTATTCTTTGCCAGTGTCTTCAAATTCAAGTGGTAATCGTTTAAAACTTGCTCTATTCACTATGGCTGTCATAACGCTTAAATATTATTTTTGGTGGTCATATTTAAAATCTCCCAGAACATCAAATGTTAAAAAGTCTGCGAAATAATGTAGTTTTATTGTTAAAAAAGTTGTGTGAAAAATGTTTTTACTTTTAATTAAATAAAATATTTAAATTTAAATTATTAATGAAATTAGAATATTGTTATTAATTGTAGAACTTCCCTTTACAAGTAGTCTGTAATACCTCCCCTTAGTTAGCCTAAAATAATCCTTAAAATATTTAATAATTCCTATTAGGAAAACAAATAAATTGAAATTAGAATATTATAAATAATTGTAAAAAATTCCTTTACAAGTATTCTGTAGAACCTCCCTGTTGTGTAGCATAATCCGTTCCTGAAACTATTCCTATTAAGTTTCTATAGGAATCGATTCTTGTAGCCCATGATATACTTAGGAACGCTTCTGCCGATTTATAAAGACCCATCTCTAATCAATTAAAGATGTGGCATTATGGGTGATTATTAGAAATTCTTTATATACGCTCTCAGGGTCCTCAATAATTACCACCTCTCATCGTCAATAAGAATTCATGATTGTCTTCTTTGAATTCTTCTTTTTTACCTTTTATTAAGACTCCATGTTTCGCTAATAACTAATCCGTTTCGGACGTCCGTAAAGATTATATTCTGTCATCCATAAGGACTCCTTTAGGCTTTTTCTTGTATTTGTCGTCTAAAAAATACCATCTTTCTGTCGCTTGTAAAGGCTCCCTTCCGGTAGTAAGTAACCTTCCAGGTGCGTATAAAGAGTCTCTTCCGGTCGCCTATAAAAACTCCATTCCGGTCGTCTATAAAGAATCCTTTCCTGTCGTCTATAAAATGTCTCTTCTGGTCGTCTATAAAGTCTCCCTTCTAATCGTCTATAAATACTCTCTACCTCTCGTCAATAAAGATACGACTTCCTGTGGTCTATAACGACTCCCTTCTGGTCTTCTACAAATACGACGTTGTTGTTGTCTATAAATACTCCTTCCTGCCGTCTCAAAAGCCTCCTTTCCGTCGTCTATAAAGCCTCCTTTCCGTCGTCTATAAAGTCTCCTTTCCGTCGTCTATAAAGCCTCTTTTCTGTCGTCTATAAAGATTCCTCTCTGCCGTCTATAAAGCCTCCTTTCTGTCGTCTATAAAGATTCCTTTCTGTCGTCTATAAAGACTCCTTTCTGTAGTCACAAAGAATCCCTTCCTGTTATCTATATAGACTCCCTTCTGGTCGTCTATGAAGACCCTCTTCCTGACGTCTACAAATACAACTTTCTGTCATCAACAGATTCCCTTTTGGTTGTCTATAAATGCTCCTTCCTGTCGTCAATAAAACTTCCTTTCAGGATGTCTATAAAGACTCCTCTCTGACATCTATAAAGACAACTCTCTGTCGTTTATAAAAACTCATTTCTGTCGTCTATGGAAAGTCATCTCTGTCATCCTTTCTTTCATTATAAAAGTCACTCTTCCGTCGATTACAACGGCTTCTTTTCCTTGTTTAAAAAGACTCTATTCTATCGTTAACAGACCCAATCTGATCATCTATAAAAGTACTCCTGCGGTCAAATTTTAGACTACCCTAAGGGAGTATTTTGTAACTACTTTTTGATTATCAGTAAAGTTATATATTAAGCCATTCATTTAGACGCAGGACATCCTATATTGTCAAACTTATACTTTCTACAACCTAACCTAATAAAAATTAAAACATATCTTCAAATATTTATTTTATTATTTTTTATTTATATTTAATATAAATTATATATACAATAACATTAAATACAATTAACATTATTTTTAATATAAAAACATTTTTATTCTTTTATTTTTTTTAAATATTTGAGATTCTAGAACCTTAAAACTAACCTCAAAAACAAATAAGGCAAATCAAACTATTTTAAAACCTATAACCTCGATTACGGCTATTTCTATATAAACGCTGACAAAACGGTGACTGCAATTGTTTGTGGCGCAGGAAATTTGGTATTCTACGCAAAGGATTTGCACATTGCTGTTCACATTTTTCCAATGATGGAAATTTATTGGTGTTCGGATCGCATATATCTGCAGCATATAACATACAACGGTCGGTACAAAAATTATAAAACCAATAATTGGATATCACACGATTATCTGAACATTCAACAATCGATAAGGGCTGATAACAATGCGCGGGTATAGATTGCAGCAGAGAATTAGTATCATCATATAGATTGGGATGACCTGGTAGAACATTTCGTTGATTATATTGTAAAGCCTTGGGTTTCCTATCCAAAATAATCGGCTGATTATTTCTTCGTAGATATTGAAAACGATTTGGTTCTTCCGGTTCATATAATGCCTGCGAATGATAATTGCCAATATATAGTGAAGGTGGTGGTTCTTGTCTTAAATTTTCAGCTTGTATACCACCACCATATGATGGAGGTAAATTATCCAGTTCATTTTGATAGTTATACTCTGGAAGATTTGTATCAACGGCATATTCATCAATGGGTTTGTAATTATTTTGAACCCGTTCATAGGGGAATTCGGATTCTGTTACGGCAGAATCATTTGTTTCCTGTTCTATATCCTCGTTATTGTATATAGAATTTTCCTGAGGATTTTCGTAATTATTTCCCAAATCAATGCCTCCGGCAATGACGGGTTGGACATTGTAGCGGCGACAGGCCACATTGGAGACAAAACATTTTTCATATTCATATAGGTCTTCATCCTGCAAAATCGAATTTATTAAATTTTAATTTTATAAATAAATTCCTTTATCTCCTACCTGACACTCCCTTTGTGCACGGGCATCTAATATCTTCCTTCTCATCTTAAATCCTACCCCACATGTAGCATTACAGGCAGACCATGCAGTCCATTGTCCCGTACAATCCATATTCAATCTTCCACCAGCACCACCACCACCACCACCACCTTGTTTCATCATAGGCCTTAGTGATTTCAGTAGATGATCTCCATTGTCTACGTCATCTTCTTCCTGCATCCATGGTGGATTATCGGCTTTTGAACATGGCCCTGAACATGGTTCAACTTGTCTTTTTATTACAATTTCATCACAATTGTAAATGCTGGCTACTTCGGGTTGCTTATAGACTCGAGACCGTGTCCTGGTTCCCATACCACATTCTGCACTGCATTCACTCCATGCCGACCAGGGGTGTGTGTGACATTCGCGGGGTATATCATCGGCATTGTTGGCTGAAAAAAATGAACAGATAAATGTTAGTATAGGGAAGGATACTGAAGTTAAAACTAGAGCAAAGAGAGATCATCAGCTGTAGTGAACATAACATAACCTCAAATTCCGATTCAGAGTTTTTTTTTTAATAAATTTGAATATTAAAAAAATGTTTAATGGAAAATAAACCGCTGATGTGTTGATTTATTGAGAGGCAATGTATCAGATGATCCACAGTCGTGATCTCAAGGTTGTTACAAGCCCATTTATGGGGAAGAGAGGTTGTATAATGGACTTACAATCTTCATCGGCACATTTCCTTTCATATAACCTTTGTCGTTTGATTCTTAACATTGCCATGGGTTTCATGGGAGCCCCTGTTGGATCGTAGAATGGTGATCGAGGATCGGATGGAAAATCGGAGCGCATCCGTCTTATGACATCTGGTGGCAATTGAGGTTGATCAGGTGACTGTGAATAAAGAAGGTGTGTCATTAATGTATATTGTGGACCAAATAACTGTAACATTATTTTTAGGTTATGTTTTTTAGATTGAGATATGATCGAGTTTTACAACAGTTTATTTAAATAATTCCCGACCAAATCAATAAAATTTTTTAAATTTCGCTGGCTAGAATTATTCTAATATTCTAATGATGATATCACATTGTTGTTGTAGTAATTATAATAATACATACCGTATACGATGGTCCAGCATCTGTACCAATATCCCAGGGATATAAACTAATAACTTTCTCCTCGATCCAGGTACAATTTGCCAAACAAAGTTCCAGGCCAGTAACGCCAACAATCCAATCGGGTGAGGGTGTGATTTTTGAGGCCAACGACAGCTGATGCCTGGAGGGATCAACACGCAGCCAAGCCAAGGTGGGATTATTTAAATACGGGAATGATGGACCACGGGCCTTGAGTATGGTGCGGATCTTTTTCTCCTAAAAAAAAAGAAATTAAAAGGTTTGTTAAACAACACAGAAAATTTTAATAATTTCAAAACTAACCTTAAAATAATTATTAAATTCCTGTTCTAGACCCCTGGAAGAACCATGTTCGGCAAATTCCTGCATGGCAGGTGAGGCCAATTCTCCTGAATCCCAAAAACGATAATCAGAGGTATGGGCAGCACCCAAAATGTCGCTGAATTTGGCTAGCCAACCTTTGGCTGGAAAATCTTTGGGATGCAGATTACGGGACCACATACCCTCAAAGGTGATCTAAAAGAAAATATTTTGATAAATACTATTTACTTTAGAAATTCCAAATTTCTTTACCTCATAACGAGCCTCATCACATGCACAACACTCCTTACTCTCGACGTCCTTCTTTTGCGATTCCAAATCATCAACATTTTCCTCACATATACGTTTCGTCAACAGTCCATCGTCCATAAACCAAACATCACGATGATGTATGACGGTGGCCCGTATTAGAACACAACCAAATCCCGGTTGTGAGGGTGCCACCCAAGCCATATCCAATCGGGTTTTCGGATTGGTATTTGTCGTTTCAATCATATTCACACATTCGGCACTAAAACGACTCTCCACGGGGTCAATCAACTCAAAATGTCCCAAATCGGAATTCATCACCAAATCTCCATTATCGTTTTCCAATGCCAATTTGGCGCTGATGAAACGTCGACCATTGTAAGCCTGTAAAGAAACTAATGGAAAGTTCTGCATTAATATTTTTTGGGTGGGCATATCTTAATTTAATACAAAAATTAAAAACAAAAATTTGTTGTTTACTCGAAGAAGAAAAAAAGGGGGACGCCGAAACCTTATCACCAAAGACGCTTAAAAATAATCATGTTTTGTTTGGTTTTTCATGAGAAGCATTTGTTTTTATTTTTTGTAATCACTAAGACGCACCCAATGCCGGCTTGGCGCGGTAATATTTGCCGCAAACAAGTTTTTAAGTTTAAGTTCAAGGTCACTTTGTTAAAATAGCATCACGGGATCTTCGAAACTATGCAGTTTTTTAGTGTCAGGGTGTGATTTTCCAAATAGACTTTATGGCGTCTTGTATTGATCTTTGAGTCTAGGCTTCACATATAAACTTACCGTTATAGGTCTGACCCAACAAATACGTCTGAGCATTCCCCGTAATTGTTATGGCAAAATTATCATCCACTGGGGCTTTGGGCGCCAAGGTATTTTGTGGATAACGGCTACATAGCACTGCAAAAACATTTCCCGGTACAAGTAATGCAATATATATTCGTAGAAAACGGTTTTTCCAATTTTCCATATTTGTTTTCTTCGTAGTTCTCTTTCGTTGCGTCGCTGATGATGTTTACACTTCCAAAGTTTTTACTAAACTAATCACCAAGCATGCTTATAGTCAAGATTATAATGCTGACTTAAGCTGCTCTCATGCGAGGAAGTGTGTTTTTGTTGCGTTTTTTACTGTACGCAAATCTGTGATTATGAACCGAAGAGAGAGAGAGAGAAAGAAAGCGGGAGAATTAGCAAACAAAATATATTTCCTTATCGCCGCCAGAGACGACTGCGTCGTCATCATCATCGTATTTTCAAGGTTGCTAAGTAAAAGCGAAACTAAAGGTAGAGGGTGGTCATGGGAGTGCCCTTTTTTTTAAAAAAATTATTTTTGTTAAATAGAAATTAATTACAAAATTGATTGGGCGCCATGCTAAATATGAAATTGATCACCATCAAATGTTCATAGGGAATCAGAGAGTAGAAGGTGGTCATTTGATAGATAATTTAAATTTGATAGATAATAATATATAATTTATTTTCTTTTAAATACAAATTATTTAAAAATTTGGTTGGGCACCATTGCAGAATATGAAATTTGGAATAAGTTGAGATTGGGCGCCATTGCAGAATATGAAAGATAGGATTAGTTGATCATCACCATATTTTTAAGTTTGCTCAAAAAAAAAAGAGAATCTAAGGGTAGAAGGTGGTCATGAGAGAAATTTTTTAAAATAATTTATTTTCCTTTAAATATAAATAAATTACAAAATTGATTGGGCGCCATTACAGAATATGAAATAAGTTGATATAAATAAGAAAAATACAACTCTGTAGTGCTACTTTGTTAGCTCAATAATTTGCGGAGATTTTTAGAGGCTGTTTTTTTAATTTTCCAGTGAATTGAGAGAGTGAGATTTAATTTAACAGCTGCTCTTCAATGCACCGGTACTCCAACATCGTACCGTTTAGTTAATTGATGATGGTTATTTAACGAAAAGTCTGTGTCGGTAGGATGTGGATGATATTCATAGGCAATTGCCGGCTGTGGATCCATGCTTTGCTTGTGATGAGGGAATGTCTACAAGTTTTGTTAGGGTTATAAAGAAGTTTTGTTATTTTTCGTTTAAAATTCAGATTGTTTTATTAGTCAAGACCCCGGACATCAAAATAAAAGGTAAACCTTGGCCATGGCGAGAGTGGGTCCCAAAGATCATATGATTTCATTGGTAAGGAAAATTAATACCTCACCAGATTGCATTGTGAGTGCCGCCTCTATTAAACGGTTGATGGATTGAGGAGAATATTTTGAATTTATATTAATGGTATGTGTACACCGATTTGGAACTAACGCATATGGTGAGTTTTTTTACAATTTATATTTTAATATTTTTGATTAAACAATTTATTATATATTTTTTAATCTCCAGGTCAGGCCCTAAAAGCCACTGAATATTTTAAACGCATAATCTCCTCGTTTCCAAGTGTTAAACATTCACCATTTAACGATTAATCTGGGACAATCATGAAACCTTTGGCTACGTTGAGGAACAATTCCGCACTATAATCAAGACATATAATCTCAATGTTCTGTCGGGGACAGAAACACCTCTTCATTTCATTGGTCGTCGGATGAAGAAGAAAGTTTTTAATTTATATCTCTGGGATGTAGACATCGATACGGAACCATCTTGTATGGTAAGTTTTATAAAAATACTACAAAACATGAAGATATAAGTTTATATTGGTACCAATTAGTGTATACGTATTGCCGTCCTGTATACGCCTATATAAAATTGTATGTAAAGCCGAAAATTCTGAGTTTATTTGCACCAATGGGCGTATGAGTATTGTCGTTTTGTATACGCCACATAGCTAATTCTGAGGTTCCATGCACCAGTGGGGGTGTGAAAATTGCCGCTATAGTTGGTCCTTCTGATTTCTGTGTATTGGTACAGCCAAGCGAATGATTATTGCCTCGTGTATCAGGGCATTTTAATTTTGGTACACAAAAGTGATAATTTGTGGAATATATTTTAAAATGACTGATAATAGACTTATCCAAAGAAAATATAACGCCGGATCTGTGCACATAGTGGGCGTATGATTATTGAAGTTATGTATACGTCACATACTTTATTGCTATGTGTCGATAGCAAATAGAGTATGATTGTCGAGGTCCTTAGGAAAGCATTAAAATAATATTTTATATAAAATTGTGGGGCTCTTATTTATTTTAGCGGACAAAAGTGTTTCTGGCAATTTTTGAAGTGACCGCTAGTAGACTTATCTCTGAATAATCGGAGGTTCTTTGCACCAATGGGCGTATGATTATTGTCGGCATGTATACGCCATATATGTGTACAATATTCAGAAAAAAATGAAATGAGCGCAGTAGGGAGAAATCTGAAACTGTTTACTTGTTTATATCAAATTTCTGAAAGAATAAGATATTTCTGAAAATGTATATTTATCACATGAAAATTTAACACAGCAATTTGTGAGGTCAATTATGCCACTAGTGGGCGTATGATTTTTGTCGCTATGCATACGCCACATATGTGTACAATTTTTATTTAATCCTAATGGTTCCATCTTTTGAATGGACACAGTAGAAAGAAATCTGAAACACTTTACCTCTATTTTCGGAACAACGAATCAGAAATACCTGAAATTGTATACTTATCACATGAAAATCTTACATAGCAACTTCTGAGGTCAAATATGCCCCCAATGGGCGTAAAAAGAAATTTCCAAAAATATATATTTTTAAAAATAATACTTTTATTAAATTTTCTTTTAAAATAAAATCAGTACACTTCACACCTACTGCCACGTATTTTTCCACTTTCCATTGTGCCTGTTAATACCCGAATGACTGAAACCTCCGCCACCAATACCACCACCATAACCATATTCCACATCCACATTTTGTTGGCCGCCACATTCCGCTTGACATGCCTCCATACTGAAAAACTTATTACGATTACGATCACAATTATCCGAAGTAAATAATTTACATTGCATATCACGGGCATCGTAGAACCAATAATTTTTCAAGAACACTCGAGGAGCATTACAGCGATCCGTTGACAATACTGGTCGTTGTAAACAAAAAGTTTTATCGGATTCTTCTTCTTGATCGAGGACAGAATCATAATTTATGGTTTTAATGCCATAAGGATTGCTGGGTAGAAACCCATAACCCGATAAAGTAGATTCCGTGGTGTGACCATAGCTATTACCCCTAAAATTGCGTTGTGTTGTTGTCGTGGTCGTAGTTCTCGAAGTTGTTTTGGAATGATAATTATTAATTCTGGAATTAATTGGGTTAAATGCAGATTGCTTGTAAGGCGTATTTTCAAATGGCAAATCTCCTGATATTTGCGGGTTATCTTCCGACTGATAATTAAGAGGATTTCCGCGTAATCTTTCACTACCATATATGGTATTGAGATTTTCATATTGTGGTTTGCCATAATCATCGTTATTATTCAGTATTGGTTTATTGATCTGTGTTCTCAAATCACTGGTATCCATAAATCCTCCAATACCGGCACCATATTCTTGATTGGCGTCCAAATCATAACCATTCGGTTCCATATCATAATCTAATGGGCGATTATTGTAACTCGTCTGTTCCTTTCTTCTGCCTTTATTTTGGGAATTGTGGATATTACCACCACAATAGGTACCCTCGCAGGTCTCAGTTTGTATTAGGTCAATAGGTATTCCACCACTCTACAATAAAGAGAGATCGATCGATCAATTGGAGAACATTTGAATTATCCATCCTCCCTTACCTGACAATTTTCGCTGGCATAACTATTTACAAAACTCCTGGTCCGTGTCCTTGTACCCATACCACATTTATTCGAACATTCCGAATAAGGAGACCATGGTGTCAGCTCACATTCAGCTCCACTGCCATAACGTGAATTCCCAGCCATGGATGGTAAACCAATATTTTGATCAATGCATGGACCGCTGCATTCCTGAGTTTGCCTCAAAATTTCTTGACAATTCTTTTTTCTAGCCACCTCCGGATCTTTGTAATCACGTAGGCGATATTGTACACCACTGCCACATTTGACACTACATTCACTCCAATCGGTCCAGGGATGGGTGTCACATTCAATGGGTAGTTGTTCTGAAGATTGAAAAGGAGAACAAAATATTAACAATTAAGTTCGCTGCCTATTCGATGTAACTAAAATCGCTGGGGACCCTTATATTGGGGCTAATATTTTGAAGTTTTATCTTCCCTCTAAAGGTGAAGGCTATAAAAATACTATCCCTTACCATCAAAACATCGCCCATAGGTACGTTTCCTGGTAACCCTTAAGGTAGCCAAGGGTTTCATGGGTGTTCCGGTTTTATCATAGAATGGCGAATGTTCATCACTGGGAAACGAGGAGGTTATGCGCCTCACAACATCTGGGGGCTTTTGGGCCTGATCTGGAGACTACAACAAAAATTAAATATTTATTTAGAAAAATTATGATAATTTTGAAAAATCTCACCATATAAGATGGCCCCGAATCGGTGCCCACATCCCATGGATATAAATTCAAAACTTTCTCCTCAATCCAACGACAATTTGCGGTGCACAACTCCATAGAGGCAACACCCAAAATCCAATCTGGCGAAGGATTAATTTTCGTTACCAATGAAATCATGTGATGTTTGGGTCCCACTCTGGCCGTGGCCAAGGTTTTGCCCACCACATTTGCCTTATATTTTATGCCAGGGGCCTTGATTATGGTGCGTATGCTACCGGTCTGAAAATGAAAATTTTATTAAGTTCCTATTCTTTTATATCTGGAGGCAAATTTACATCAGTTTGATTTTTAATTTCCATTTCCAAGGCCGCACTAGAACCATGTTCAGCCAATTCTTGTAGCCCTTGGCTAGCCGGGCTACCATAACTCCAAAAAGAATAATCCACCGTGTGTGAAGCCCCAATGACGGTGCCAAAGCTGGTGCGCCATGCTTGCAGGGGGAAATCCTTTGGGTGGGTGTTGCGGGACCAGTGGCGTTCCAAAACAATCTGAATTTTTATAAGGAAAATTACTAAACCCTTTCACGACCTTCAAAAAATTTGCGAACACACCTCATATTTTGCCTCATCACAGGCACAGCAAGGATCCACAGCCGGTAATTGCCTATGAATATCATCGACATTCTCCCGACACAATTTCTTCGTTAGATAACCATCATCAATAAACCAAACGGTACGATGTTGCAGTACCGCAGCCTTAAACAGCACACAACCACTTTCTGGATCATCCGGAGCTATCCAAGTCACAGTGATCCGCTGTTTCATATTACTATTGCTACTTTCTATCATATTTTCACATAGGTTACTGAATTTCGTTTCCGGATTAATAATTTCGAATTTCCCCAAGAGCTCACTACGAGAGTTGTGTGCAGGATTTTCCGATTCCACCAGTAGGGTAAAGGTTAGGAATTTTAAACCCTCCGGACAGGAAAGGGATACTTGAAATGAAAGATGGATAGATACATATAAGAAAAAATTGATCAGAATATCCCAGAGGCAGATTGAGAACCCAATATTTTAAAATCAGTATTTATCGCAGAGGACATTTAAGGGTGGAAGATATCGCTCGGTATATTCGCGGTTATGTCCTTTGTACTTCCTTATTTAATATATTTCTTTCCTTACAATTATATTCTCTTCCGGGTAAATAAGTCGAAGGATTGCCATCAATTAATATTTGATAATTTTCATCGACGGGTGAACGATCGCCGGTGGCACCTTGCGGTATACGATAACATCCCGAATAGCAATGACTTATCGCAGCGAATATCAAGGAAAACCGCAATATTAAAGCGTAAGGATTCATTGCATAAATCCTGAAGAGTATACCACAAAAGCGGATAACGAAAAAACTACAGCTCCGAACCGTTTGACACACCACAAAGAACTGAAGCTAAATTTTTCAATAACCACTTTGAATAGTTTTCGATCAAAGCTATTGATTCAATTAAATTGAAACTATGTCATCTTCATTTAGACGAATGCGGAATGTCTCAATTCTATTATGGCACAGACACACACACACACACTCACTCACTCGCAATCGGCAATCAAATATTGCGGCAAATTTTCTTGTTTTGACGCCGTTCAATTAAATTGAAAACCACACACATCTTTGAAATCCGAACGCATAAATTTCTCGCAAGACACTGTGTGGGAATCCACGAATAGATTGAGACTGTGTGATGCGACTTTTGGAGGCACGCTTTTCAATTAGCCAAGTGTCGTAATTATTTTTGTTTTTTTTTTTTTTTATAGTCATCTATGATTGAATATTTCCGAATATGATAGTATGGACACTCAGTGGAATGGGTGAATGACCCTTTGGAATATAGTGTGTAGTTAGCTATGAAAAATCATAATTTTTTATAGCATTTTTTTTTTATTAATTTGTTTGCATTAAAATCGAATAAAAAAATATTTTAAAATAAAAATCTCTGGACTGATAATTTGTGATTGATAAGTGGGTCAAGATTTTTTTTCGTGTGGGGGTTTGTTGTTAAACTAAATTTGAAATACAATCAATTGGAAGGTTCTAGAGAAGTCCGGACATTTTTTGAAAAAGAAATAAAGTAATTATTTACAAATAAAACGTCACTAAGTTCGGCAAGGCTCCATTTTTCAAAATCTAAAGCGTGAGGAACTATTAGAAATAAAAAAATACAAATTCCTGATATTCTATGGCTTACATAAAAAACTCCAAATTTTTCCGCCAAAAAATATTCAAATATTCAATTTATAATTTAAACTATTTATTTTATTTGAGTATATTTTAGATAATAAATAAGAAATTTTATAATGCCAGTATAACTATAGCTCCTCCTTCTGCCCCTTCCACCTCTCCTTCCGCTTCTATTCCTCATTATTATTCAGCAGACATGGTAACATTTTACACTTCTCCACAATGACACGATCCTTGCACTTATAACTCATCTCAATGTTCAGTAGAGTTCGTGTTCGCTGACGATAGGAATTATCACCACATGTTGCGGTGCATGGTGTCCACACTGACCATTCGGAATAACGACATTCATCTTTCTCCTCAATTTGTTGTGGTTCCACTTTCACATGACTATGATGACGTCTCCGCTCATCATTACTCTGTGGTACATAACCTCCTACGGAGTAGATGTCATCACAACGTTGATAACATTTTTCAATTTTCACCAAATGTTTAGGGCAGGGTTTACCACCATATTTCGGGGAACGTAAGACCTTACGTGTCTTAATTTGCGCCCCTTCTCCACAGGTGACATTACACGCATGACTCATCCAATTACTGACCACACAATCAATGGGATCGGCGCGAATATTTTCCTGTTGCATTTCCATTTTCTTGCGTGGTATGCGACAGGTCTCCTCACACTCTTCTTTGGATTTAAATTTATTGCGATTCCGATCACATTTATCGGCCCAGAAAATCGCACACTGATCAGACATGTGATCGTAATACCAATAATTGGCGACATCGCTATCACGACAATGACTGGGTTTTAAAACTTCATAACATTGGGGTGGTACAATGGCATCACAGTTTAGGGTGTTGCAGGTCACCACTTCACGGCGTTTGATATGGCGACAGGGATCAACATTGGGATCACGATTTGGATTGCGTACTCCATACACTTCGTCTTTGTTCCAAACCACACGTTGTCTTTCACTGGTGCCTTTGCCACCACAAGGACCCAAGCAAGGGGAGAAATCGGACCAGTGAGATACCCCACATTCGGGAGGTATATAATCATCCAGTTGGTGGCTATAACTTTCCAGGTCCCTATAACGTATGTTGTCATCAATGTTTCCGAAAAGGGAACGAGTTCCATCAACTTCATTGTCCTCAGCATCACCACCATTATCTCCCGCGTCACTGTCACCAATATCGCCACCACAGTCCGAGGCACGACAACCCCTTTTCTCTTCCAAGACCAAACGTAAAATGGGCTAGAAGAAAATTCGGAAAATTATTGAAAATGATTCTCAAATTATTTTATCTCTATTTACCTGACATTTCTTCTTTGCACCCCGGGCCAAATAACGCCGCCTCCTTGTCTCAAATCCCTTGCCACATGAGACGGAACACGATGACCATTCACCCCAATCGGACACCGCACACTCTGGCATATCATTCGTGGGAGCATACACCACCTCCTCAACATCTCCTCCATTCTCAGCTTCACACTGACGTCCCATACATGCCTGCTCCTGTCGTAAACTTGTTCGACAACGCACCCTTTGCGCTGCAGCGGGATTTTTAAATTCCCTGGTTCGATATTGTGTGCCAGGACCACATTTTGCTGAGCATTCATCCCACGGGGACCAATGATGTGTAGCACATTCGAGTGGTTCGTTTTCGGCTGAAAATAGGTTTGGGTTTAGGTGAATTTTTCAAACTTAGGTATCTAATGGTATCGTAGGTCACTTGAGCTTAGATTTCCACTAATAAGATCGCTAGCACAGACAAAATCCGTCAGTTCACTAGAAATTATATTCTAAACTTTCTCTAGGTTCAGCAGATCGTTATAAGCTCGTCACCTGTTCACCTTAAGTTCATTCGTTTGCTAGATCTTCACCTTCGTCAGCTCTAGAGGTTCGCCAAACTTAATATAGGTTCACTAAATCATTATAAGTTCGTCACCTCACAATAAGTTCACTTGCATACTAAACGTTCGCCTCACTAAATGTTCTCTACCTCTCCTTAGGTTTGCCAAGCCTTCTATAGGTTCGCCAAATCATAAGTTTGTTAACTCACAAGTTCATCTCGCAATAACTTCACTTATAAGTTCGCTAGCTAGATCACTTAAAATTCGTCATCTCACTAGAGGTTCTCTAGCCCTCTAGAGGTTCTATAGCTACCGAGAGGTTATCTAGCTATTTAGAGGTTCTCTATTTCTGTAAAGGTTCTCGTTCTCTTTAAGGTTCTCTATCTCTTTAAAGGTTCTCTAACTGTCTAGTGGTTTTCTAGGTCTCTAGAGGTTATCTAGCTCTTTAGAGGTTCTCTGTCTCTCTAGAGGTTCCCTAGCTCTCTAGAGGTTATCTAGCTTTTGCTAGATTATTATGAATTATTTAGTTCACTATAGGTTCACCATCCCACTCACAAGAGGTTCCCAGCTCTATAGAAGTTCGCCAAGTATACTATAGGTTCCCCTGCTCACTATAAGTTCTCCAGGGATATCTATCTCGCTTTAAATTTGTCATCTCACTAGAGGTTCTCTAGCCCTCTAGAGGTTCTATAGCTACCGAGAGGTTATCTAGCTATTTAGAGGTTCTCTATCTCTGTAAAGGTTCTCAATCTCTTTAAGGTTCTCTATCTCTTTAAAGGTTCTCTGTCTCTCTAGAGGTTCCCTAGCTCTCTATAGGTTATCTAGCTTTCGCTAGATCATTATGAATTCGTTAGTTCACTATAGGTTCACCAACCCACTATGAGTTAGAATTTCACTACTGGTTCTAAATATCACTACAGGTCTCAAAGCTCCGCAGTTCATCAGGGCACTAGCTAATTCTATTTAGTCTTATCCGTGCGCTTTACTCTTAAAGTTCCCCAATGTATATTTTTCCCTGCCCTACAAATTTACACAGGGTTACTTACATTCGGTATTATCACATGTCTTCTCGTACAATCTGCGACGATTCAAATACACCGTTGCCAGAGGTTTCATGGGAGCTCCAGTGCTATCATAGAATGGAGATCTAGGATCATTTGGCGAATTCGATTTGATGCGCCGTATAACATCCGGTGGAACCTGAGGCTGATCCGCCGACTAAAGTAATAATAATACAATTAAGTGAGTTCCAAGTATATCTCAAAAATATACAACTTACCATATACGATGGACCCATATCGGTGCCCACATCCCAGGGATATAAATTATAGACCTTCGTTTCGACCCAAGTACAATTGGATAAACATAACTCCAAGCCTGAAACGCCCACAATCCAATCTGGTGAAGGGTCAATCATGGAAACGAAGGAAATCAAGTGATGCTGGGAGTCGACTCGGAACACTGCATGAGTCTTGCCCGTGACATCGGGATAGGCAATGCCGCGTGCTTTAATAATTGTGCGGATTTGATCGCTCTGAAAAGAATAATGATTTTTAATAATAAATTGAAAAAATAGATATTCCAAAAATTACCTTATCTTTAAGCTCCGTTTCCAAGGTTCTTGTGGAACCATGTTCGGCAATTTCCCTCAAACCCTCACTGGCCAATTCTCCGTACTGCCAAAAACGATAGTCCACCGTATGAGAAGCCCCAATAATATCACTAAATCGTGTACGCCAACTATTTGCCGGAAAATCTTTCGGATGGGTATGTCTTGACCATTTACCCTCAAATGTCAGTTCATATTTAGCCTCATCACAAGCACAACAGGGATCGACAATTGTCGGTTGACTATCGATATCATCGATTTCTTCTTCACACAATTTTTTCGTTAAAAACCCGTCATCCATAAACCAAACATCACGATGTTGTATTACCGTGGCCCTTAGTAGAACACAACCCATGCCGGTGGCTGCTGGGGCAACCCATACCACATCGATACGCTGCTTGACATTTGTATTGGTATTTTCGACTAAATTCGCACAGCGGGGACTGAAACGGGTTTCAGCCAAATCGGCAATTTCGAATGTGCCAACAACATCCATGGCGTCGACACCGCCATTTTCGGATTCCACTCCCAGCATAAAGCTTATGAAAACTTGATCGTTGGAGGCCACAAGGGATACTGCGAACGAGAGAGAAAGAATGATTACAAAAATATTCTTTTTTTGAAATTTCTTACACTCACCATTATATTTCTGTCCCGGTATATATGTCTGCGGGTTACCCGCAATAACAATGGCATAACTTTCATCTACCGGCGATTTCGCAGCCGTTGTTCCATATGGCACCCGACTGCATGCCAACGCAATATTCAGTGTTGCCGATATGGAAATTGCCAACGCCAACCAATTCATTTTCACTGTCACAATGTGTTTGAGTGTCCGAATGTTGATGGTGTTGATGTTGCCGTCGATTGCTTTGTGTTCGTTGGGTGGCTGGCTGTCAGAACAGAAGTGACCTGAAATGAATATTAATTTTGATGGTGAATGTTAATGACAATTTAACGGAAATCTAATATTTGTCAATAGCAAAATAATTAATGGGGTAAACGAGAAGGGTAAAGGGGGGACAATTTTAACATATAAGTTCGGAAGCTGTATATCGTTACTCCAGATCATAATAAGTTCTTTGGATCAATAATAGTTAAGTCCATAAGCACGCTATAACTTCACCAGCTATAATAGGGTCACAATTTTGCATTATGTTCTGCAGCTCACTACGACAATATCAGCTCATAATAATTTATTTTTCGATAGCTCACTAGAGGTTCGCCAGATCATAAAAACTTCTAATAATCGTTCAGTATTAGTTGATAGCTTAGTAGAAGTTTCACTAGAGGTTCAGAGATACAACTCACTAGCCGTTCTCTAGCTCTCTAGAGGTTCGACAAGCCTACTATGGGTTCGCCAGATCATTATAAGTTCACCTGTTCACTGTAAGTTCGCCTGCTCGCTTTCTCTAGCTCTCCAGAGGTTCACCAAGGTCTATGTAGGTTCGCTAGATCATTATAAATTCTTCAGTTTACTATAAGTTCACTATCTCACTATGAGTTAACAGCACACTACTGGTTTTCCAGGTCACTATAGATCCGCCAGCTAACTAGTTAATTGTCTTTAACCTTATCTGCTTAATATATATACTGATATTACCCGCTCATAATAATTTCTGTTTCTCAATAGGTTAGTTCATCATCTCACTACAGTTTCACCAGCTCAAAATTAATTCAACTGTTTATAAAAATCCAATAATAATCAGCATACTATTAGTTCGCCAGCTCAATAGAAGCTTGTTAGCTCAATATTAGTTCGACTGCTCAGTAATAGTTTCGGCAAGTCCGCCATCTCACTATTAGTTCGCTATTTCAATAGATTATCACCAGCTCTCTGAAGTTCACCAGTTCACTAAAATTTCAACAGATCTCTAGAAGTTCAATATAAGCTCGATAGCTCAGTTTTAGTTCGACAGCTCAGTAATAGTTTCGGCTGTTCAATAGAAGTCCACCATCTCACTATTAGTTCGCTAGTTCACTAAAAGTTCAATAGTTCTCCAGTCCACTAGAAGTTCACCAATAGTTCAATAAAAGTTCTCTAGTTCACTAAATTTTCCACAGTCCAATAAGTTCGCCAGTTCATTATAAATTCACCAGCTCACTTGAAGATCACCAGTTTGTTATAATTTCACAGTTTTAATATAAGTTCGCCACTTCATTACAAGATCACCAGCTCACAAGAAGTTATCCAGTTCATTATAAGTTTTCAGTTCACTAGAAGTTCACCAGCTCACTAGAAGTTCCCCAGTTCACTAGTAGTTCACCATCTCACTAGAAGTTCGCCAGTTCACCAGCTCACTAGAAGTCCCCCAGCTCACTAGAAGTTCACCAGCCCACATGAAGTTTCCCAGGTCACTAGAAGTTCACCAGCTCACTAGAAGTTCGCCAGTTCACTAGGAGTTTACCAGCTCACTAGAAGTTCTTCAGGTCCCTATAAGTTCACCTCTTCATCTATAAATTCGTCAGTTCACTATGCATTCAAAAATCTCAGCAGGTCAGTATAAGTTCCCCATACAGAGTTGGCAGCTCATTTGTATCCAGTTCTAACTTCAAATCCTAATTAGGTCCCCCAGCTGTTTCGAAATTCACTAAAAGTATTTCACTCGGTCCACCAGCTGTTTAAAATTTTCCAGTTCATTCACTCGAAACGTGGTATTATTTTTTTTATTCAAGTCACCATGCATTCGGAACCCCTATCACCCCTCTCCAAATTAGTTCGTTCAATAACAAATCGAAGAAAATTGTTTACAAATTCCCGTCACAACAAATCCCGAATCACTACAACAATTGAAAGTGCAAAACTAAAAACGTCACAGCAAACTGTTGTTAAGGGCCCCCACGGAGACAGGTTATCTGTCGCCGGACAAATATATATTGCTAATTTTTTTTATTTTCATTTATTTCAATTACTCACTTCTATGGATTCTGGAAATTGTGAAATTATGAAAATTTCAATAAATATTGCGTCTTCTCACTAGATTATTTAATTTTTTTCTTTGAATCTCTCTGGGCTCGGCCTGTCAATCGCTTCTGAATTTAGTAACTCTGCTGATGGCGGCGTTTTGAATGCTTCAGTTCAGTTCATTTTATTTATTTTTTTCTAAATTCATTCGTTACAATTGAATTAATTAATATTAATAATTTTGTATTCTATGGAATCAAGTCACCCTGCAGCGAACACTAACACACACACACAATCACTCACCGCACATGCAGTAGTACCCTTATACGGCGATCACGTTTTATTATATTCGTCTAGATGTGCGATGCGCTATTTTCCACTATGTTGGATCCTCAGTAGTTAACGGTCAACTGAAAATGCATTACAGTTTTTGTTTAGCTTTCCGAATGGATGGATGGCTGAATGAATGAATCTGTCTGACTGTCACTGCTGAGCGTGACATCTCATTTAGTGGCATCATGAATTCACTCTCATTTGTGGGAGATGTTGAGAATCGCTATAGTTGAACACATGTTTTGAATTGTTTGTGTTATTATTGCGTGAAAATATGGTCGTGTGTTTGGGATTTGGCGACACCCTTGGTGTCGGGTTATTGCTAAGGGGTGTCGTTTGTTTTTGAGTTCCGGTATTTTTCGCTTTTTTTGTTTACATTTTCATATTCGTAAATAACAAATCAGCACTTTGGAACACCCTATAATTGGCAGAGTAGAGGACGGAAATTGAGTTGGATAACATTGTGCGGAATTTATGATAAGCTCCTAAATTTATAATGAGCTGGGGGTCTGAAGATGAACTGGTGAATTTGTAATGAACTAATGAATCCATAGTGAGTTGGGGGATATTTCGATGTTTCATTATCATGACTCCTTGATCATTTACCCATTAACCTCATCACAGGCACAACAAGGATCGACAATTGTCGGTCGATATCATCGATTTCTTCTTCGCCCAATATTTTCATTAGAAAACCATCATCCATAAACTAGACATCCGGATGTTGTATTACCGTTGCCCTTAACAGTACCCAATCCATGCTGGTGGCTTTCGGGGCCACCCATAGCACATCGATACGTTGCTTGACATTTGTAATGGTATTTTCGACAAAATTGAGAAAGAGGGAACTAAAACGAATCTAAGTTAAATCGGACAAGAACATCCTCGGTACATTACACATTCACTAAGATGAACTGTTGAACTTCCACTGTACTCATAATGATCTGCTGAATTCCTAGTGAGCTAGGGGATTTGAAATGAGGTGGTGAACTTAAAGAGCTGGAGATTATTTAATAGTGACCTGTTAAAATTCTGTCAAACAAAAACTGAACTCATAGTTATCTGATAAATTCCTAGTTAGTTGGGGATTTTATATATTGACCTGGTGAACTAAAGATTTTTTAATAGTGACCTGTTGAACCTCTGGGGGTTTGTCGAACTAGTAATGAATTGGTGAGCTGGTGAAATCACAGCAAAATGCCGAACTTATAGTGAGCTAGCGAACATGTAGTAAAATTGAGAATTTATAGAATTGAGAATCGGAGAACTTATAGTGAGCTGCTGGACTGCTAGTAAACTGGCAAAATTATAGTGAGTTGTTGAACTTCTAGTGAACTGGTGAACATCTAGTGAACTGACAAACATTTACTAAGCTGTTGGACTTCTAGTGAATTGGAGAATTTCTGATGAACTACAAAACTAATAGTAAAGTATAGAACTTCTAATGAGCTGATGAACTTCTAGTGAAGTGACGAACTTATGAAGAGCTGTAGGTCTATTCTGTAACTTTTTAACAATATTCGACATTGTTTTTACAATAACAAAAGAAAATTAAACAATATCGAATGTTGTTAAAAGTTACAGAATAGGCCTACTGGTGTACTTCTAGTCAGCTAGCGAACTTTTACTAAGCTGTTGAACTGGAGAACTTATGGGGAGCTGGTGAAGTCATAATTAACTGACAAATTCATTGTGATCTTGGAAATGATGATGTGACTAACTTATGAAGAGCTGATGTGCCTCTAGCGAACTTCTACTAGGTGGATTAACTGGAGAACTTATAGTAACCTATTGATTTTCTAATGAACTGGTGAATTTATAGTGATCAGGGAACCTATAATGAACTATCGAACTAATAGTGATCAGGCGAAGTTCTAGTAACTGAATTTCTATTGAACTGGTGAACTTACAATAGGCTATTGAACTTCTAGTGAATACGCGAATTTATAGTGAGCTGCTGAACTTCTAGTGAACTAGTTAATTTATAGGTGGTGAAATAATATTGAACATATGAAGTTATAGTGTGTGGGAACAGGTGAACTTATGGAGAGAAAGTGAAGTTATAATGAACATGCGAACTCATAGTGAACTGTTGAATTTATATATTACTGATGTATTTATAGTGAACCTGAGAACTTCTAGTGCACATTTAGTAACTAGATGAACATGTTAACTTCTTCTGATCTTTGAGAAGTATTAAGCAATGGGATTGAGAATTTTCGGTTCCACCACCACTATTGAATCACTTGAAATTAAACACCCTTTTAAAGTATTCCTACTTATTAATCTTTTATTATTTTTTTCTGTCAAACCAAATGTACCTTGGCCCTACCAATCACTGTCAAAAGCAAATTTGTTCTAATTATTTTTTATAAAAAATATTTTCCAATAATTTTGTTTTCCATATTTTTGTTTTAGTGAAAACTTAAATTTCGTAAGCTTTGTTATTCGTGTCGTGTTGTCGCGTGTTCTATATAAAATATTTATTATTTGAAAATTTTCAAAATAATTCTTAGAAAAAATGTCCAAAACTCCCAGTCGCATAAGTCTTGATAACAAGGATATGAGTAAGGATAACAAGATAAA